TGTATTGCATCCTTTTAGTACTTGGTAGCTTATCCTTATGTTGCCCCGCGAGTCGCGACCCCCCGGCGGCAGTTCGGAAACCCCCTAATTGGTACAGTACACATAAATATTCATCAACGCTATAAGTAAAATATACAGAACATGAAAAACCACATTGAAGTAAAATCGACAAATTCTCAATTTATCATCCCACCATAAACATAGTAGCTGGGACCGAGCCATGGCTTGGTATAGTTTGCCCCTATATCGAGTAATCTTCAGTGTAATCTTTGCTCAATAGTAGGCTAACTGATGTTTTTCCCTTTGTCCTTGTAGCGTACTGTATTTTGTAATTTGCTAGTATACTGTGGATGGCTTGTTATCATGGGCGCCCGCAGGATTTGGAACAGGGGGTGCAATATATGTATAGGTCTAACATGGGTCTAACAAACGCCCCGGGGGTCCGGGGCCTTCCCTGGTAAAATGTTTTAAAACGTATTTTTACGCCAATTGGTAACACATAGAACCAACAAAAAACTAAATAATATATTGAGTATCAAGGATGGTAAAAGTTATCGTTTGTATGCCAACATTAAAAACTAATAAGCTATTTGAAGTTATTATGTATAATTTATATGGTTAAATCCACAAGCCAAATAATAAAAGGAAAAGTAAACTTACAGTTAAATAAAGCCTACAGCCAAGAAAGTTGATATTTAGTTTTTTTAATAGTTTTGTTAAAGTATAAAATAATGGGAAATCTTCGAGTCAACTACTTATTTGAGTTAAACATAAATTTAAATAATTTGGAGAAATGACCATTATGAACGTACTTTAATTTTTTTTTTTACCCAAGTGATTAAACAACATTATGGGTATTAAATTTATTTCTTATTTTTTTAGCCAGGGGGGAGCAAGTGCACACCCTTGCAACTCCCTGTGGGCACCCATGCTTGTTATAAACACATAACAAGTCTTTTGTTTACTTTTTCCTTGTTATTTTGTTCAACCAACATGGTTACTTGGCAACCCATAAGGCCAATGTTAAACGTTGACTTTCAATTGAATTTTTTAACGTAATTAGATTTTTGTTTGCAGTTTTAACTTCAGTAAAGCAAACACGTTTTTAGGCCAGTGGTCAGGCATAAATTATTTAAAACATTTGAAGGAAATAATCGAAGCCATATTCGAGATCGTTGTGCAAGCATAAACAAGCATACATACAAATACATAAGCAAACATTGCTCATTTGGTATAGGATACTAGTGCGACTGTTGCTCGCATTCGAGCAATTGACAAGTACCGGTATTATACAGAAGTTATTTTAAAACTACAGTAATAACAGTCATAATTTTCTCTGAGTTTAAAAGACCCGACTAAAAGCTTATGTAACTAATTGCAATACTCACGCTATTTAATAGTGCTTTGAAATAATAAACGCTTGTTGTACAAATATGTTAGCATTTTTAGACCCGGCCTTATGTTTTAGTGTTTTCTACAAATGTTTCCCGACTTAAAGCTGTTACCAGTAGGCCTAAACATTTCTTTCATGTATTTATTTGATCTGACATTAGGTAGGTTTACTTTACCACTGTGACAACATGATGTGTAAATTCTTCATGGAATTTTTAATTCCGAAATAAGTTGCTTAGCATAACTGGCAAAAATAATTCATCTCCCAAAGAGATTGTGTACCTGGTTCCTTACTGTGAGACCAGGCCTCTCCTCTACTATTTTCACGTATAAGATTTCCTATTAATTGTCTCCTCCTGCTGTTTTCAATATTTTCCTTTAAATTCAAGAAATTTTCTGTTATTCCAACAAAACTTATTATTTGTTTAGATTTTTTATAACCTCCTAAATATTACAAATATAAATATTTACTCCCAAAAAGCTGGTGAGTTTCATTTTATATACAGCTGTTTTTTGTTTTTAAATTTGTTCAATGTAATTCTTATGGGTAATATCAAGGCCCCACTAAAAAAAAAACTTTTTCTAGTGGGGCCTTGGTAATATGCGACATTTGAGAGAGTCTCGCGCTCTTAAGGGTAAGAATTTTTTAATTCTTAAACCTTAATGTAAAACTGCGAATTGAGACGAATTATTTGACACCTCAAACGTTAAAATTGGTCCTGAAATAACGGAGTAGTTTTGTACACAAAAAACAGCCCTCAAGTAATTAATATAAAGAGATAGGATTACAACGCACGATTTTGTTGAGGACTGGATTTAACCCACGATATCATAATCATCAGGGGTATGAATACCTATAAGCTTAGGCGATGAGCCAAATTTCTCCGAACGATACCGCTCCTAAAAAATATTTTTGTCGCTTAAGTACTACTCCCGTACTCCGAAAATAATACGCTGCATATAGTCAGGCGTAGGCTAACCGAAACATATTTCTCTGATAGGCACTGTTCTGAAATGTGTTTTGGAGCAGTGAACTTCGAAGCTGTGCTTTTCGAATCAATTACACTTACACGTATGACCTCTACGAGCTGCCACCCTATGAAACCACCCACTGATGACTCTACGCACAATCCTGTTTTTGCAGTTTTCACGCGTTGTCGACTGACACGGTGCGTGCACTCCCCTAGATTGCGGAGTAGGGGATCGATTTTCGTCCGACGTCTAATCCAATGGATTGATGGGACAATCAGTGTATAGAAAAAGATGAAAGGAACTGCTATATTGAAGGTACTATGTGAGGTACAGTAACTACTACTTTGCAAACCTACAGTCTATGACGCTAATAATTAACGTTTAGTTCCGGTAATTGAATAATTATGATTAGGCCTACTTATACACCCAATGTATGACGACGAAGAAACGTGGTAGGTAAAATCAAATTGTATGGCTTTTCATGTAGGAAAGTCTGCATCATAGTCAGTCATACAAACCTACTTATAGTTACCGACAAAACGGCTTCAAATCACTGAATCTGCTAACTGTAGGGGGGTTTTTGTTGTCACAAGCAGATTTTTTGGCAGGATTTTAAGGATGTTAGGATTTGGTGGGGGGGGGGGGATTCAAGCAGAGTAGTTAGGAAAACATAAAAAAATATGAATTATCAGATAATTTTTACAACATCCTAAATTTATTACTGGGGTAATTACGCAATCACAGTCCCATTTAACATAATTTGATCATGATATAAATAATTTTATGATAGCTATTAAATTCATAAATAAAATGTTTATGTTGAATTTCCTTTAGTAGTGTTTGTCAACGAGAAAAACTTACTGACTGCTGTAAAATGGTTTATGGTTGCATATTTAGCTTTTATCTGCAGTTATATACAATGTGTTTTTATTGGCATTTTGTCATTTGATAGGCTCCATCACAAGTATTGTTTGCATAAAATTAAGTTTGTTTTTATTGTCCATTGTGTACTCGTTAAAAACCATAAGTAAGGTTGTTTATACAATTGTATGATAGCTATTAAATTCATAAATCAAATGTTTATGTGAATTTCCTTTAGTAGTTTTTGTCAAGGAGAAAACTTACTGACTACTGCTGTAAAGCGGTTTATGGTTGCATATTTAGCTTCTGCAGTTATATACAATGTGTTTTTATTGGCATTTTGTCATTTGATAGGCTTCATCACAAGTATTGTTTGCATAAAATTAAGTTTGTTTTTATTGTCCATTGTGTACTCGTTAAAAACCATAAGTAAGGTTGTTTATACCATACTCAGCAAAGAGGTTTTTTACTATTTGTTTCTTATTTCAGTTATTTAAAACCTATTAACCAAAAACAACTCAACATAAAAAAAAAATAGCCGTCCAGTTATAGTTAAAAAGTAAACCACAAATCATAAAAAATTAAACCCTAAGAAAATAGAGTAGGCAATTGTGTATCAAAGCTTGAGGACTGTACATGGCCAATATCGGTTATTCGAAACACCTAATGTTACAAGCTGGTAACACCCAAAGGTCAGGTTTAGCTGGTTCAAGAAGGCAGTATAGGGTAAGCTATTCTTCCGGTTGTCTGATTTTGATTTGTTATCCTGTCCTGAGTCTCAACCAATATATAGTGTGTGTAATCTTTATGAAATAATAACACCACTATATGAACGAATATATTTGATAAAGTTTTATTTGTAAACGAATGAAGAAGTGTGTTGAATCATAACCACATCATCTTCAACTCAGGTGCCAGACTGAGCTAAAAATATAAGTACAGTATGTAGCGTTTCTTTCTTGTTTTAGAAGTGATTTTACCACTTATGTATGGGCCCGGGCCCCAATAGATAATTACGCCATTCTTTCTCATGGGGGAATTTTCTCTTCATTGCACACCAATAAACCTAAAACCTCTTTCACCCCCAGGACCCATTTACTTGAGTGTCCCTGGCTGGGTCCAGTTTTGAACCATCGACTTCCCGACTTCTCAGAATCCAACCTGCACACTAGGTGCTCAGCTCACTATATCCATCCACTAATGCTAAAGGCTAAGCTATAGATTCTATGTTCATGTTTACTATATCCTGGCCAATATAGCTTTCCAAAGCAATTAAGCATATATTAGTTAAGTCCTAACTGTGACATCAAAACTACAGTGATACCTGAATCACCTAAAAGATTGTGCTAGCAGCTGTCGACTGCTGTGCAATAATATCCCTAACCACAGAAAACATACTACTATAACCCAGAATGCCAATCGCATGGTAAAAAGCATTAAGTGTTTTGAGAGAGCTTTGCCTGGCAATCGTAGGCAGCGCCACCAGCGTTGCTATGCTGAGTGCATGGCAACGCTGGTGGCGCTGCCTACGATTGACAGGCAAAGCTCTCTCAAAACACTTAATGCTTTTTACCATGCGGTTGGCATTCTGGGTTATAGTAGTATGTTTTCTGTGCCCTAACCCAGAGCAGTAGTATTATTAGTAACTAGGCTTATTCAGTGCTTTGTGGATTTTCAACCAGGGGTAAAAGGACAGGAATTTTTATGCTATTGTAATTAGCACATTTCAGCCAACATATTTTGACAGACTTAGAAGAAGAAAAGGCCAGGATAAATAATCTGGTAAAAATACAAAACAGTCTTATTTATTGAGTTTAAGAGGTACTTTTCCTATTACTCAGTAGGAAAGTATTTACAACTGTAAACTTTACACGCTTTTCACAATACTACTCATACCTAACTTATCAAACTGATTAAAGAGCGATACATAAAAATAAATAAAATCTTTTTGGTTATCACAAGGCAGACATAAAATGTACAACATGTTTCCAGACATATTAAAAAAAACCAGGCACTTTCGTGTGTCTTTAAATTCCATTCCCTGCAGTTAAAATTAAAACTATATTTGATTTCTTTCTGAACCCAAAGTATATAGCCTAATATTTTTTTTACTGAATCTCAAAAACATATCTCAAAAATCTGAATGTCACTATCCACTTATTCTGTTCCATAAAAAAATTTCCATCAAGAACAAGTGCTGAGCCCCACTAACACCCAAATGGGTTCTGCCTGCATAAGTGAGGCCAACTGAGTCTATAGATTAATACAAAAATGACCACTGTTAAACAGTGACCATTGTCAACAACTGAACCCCCTGATAACTGAACCCCCTTTGCCAATCTAAGAAACACACATGTGATCACTGTAAACAATGATCAATGAAGTTTTTTTTTACATTTACCAGAAACACATGAGCAGGCCCACGGTTTGCAAGCGAGTCCAGGCTATGGGCCCAAGAGTTATTTGCACCTGGGTCCAGGCCCATTCACTACAGTGGCCTTACACTGAAGTGAGCACTGTTGACGATGATGACTGAATCAGTTTGGCCAACATAATGTCCAAGAAATATTACATGTGTGATCAACTGTATTAGTAAAGATGGTAAACTCTGGGTGACGACTGTGTAGACGAAGACAACGATGATCTAATGATTAGTAACATCGCTTATATTGCAATCCTTGAGAATGAACTGCTGCATCAGGTCTGAAACATTGGAAACTATATCATCGTCGTCTGCATCTACGCGGCCGTCAGCCGAAGAACAGGATTTACCACCTTTAGGAATCGTCCGAGGAAGAACAAAGAACTGCATCAGTGTAGCCAACTACTTGTCCCAGAGACCCATTTCCCTCATCTTGGTCTGGAAGTACTTCTCGAGGTTGTTGGCACACAGACAGTATTCTGTGTTGGGGGAGTTGTAGGTTCTACAGTTGGTGAAGATACGGGTCATGTCTGCGATGAACAGTCTCCGAGTGGTGTAGTAGCCAGCCTTCAGTCTGTCACTCATAGTCTTCAGATCTATCAACATCATGGCGTAAATACGAGTTTAGAACATGCTGCTAATTGTGTGGTACTAGTCAACACTCAAAAATCCTTTTCTTACTTTCCTCTATTTTAAACAATTTCAAACAAAACTGTTAGAACAAATAATTGTGAAATTGTTTATGAGAGTGCAATTTGTCAAGAGACACAATATTTAGTGGGGAAGTGAGTTGCTCTTCATTTTGTAGAAAAATAATAAAAACCAAAAGTAACTAAAAATCAGGCATATCATTTTTTTATAAATTAAAGGTACACACACTAAAAACTAATAGGCTACAACTTAGCTTTTTTATCTGAATATAACATACTTACCCATGGGATACTTGATATGATCATAGTAGTCTGTGACTTCTTTCCTATCCACGGGCTTTTGAAAAGGCCAAGCCATTGGATGGTTTTTAATCTGGAATCAGAGAGATGCCATAAATTCAACTGTACCCACAAGGTTCTGTTTCAAGACTTTGTCTAAAATTCAAATATTAAATTAAATTATTTTAATTTTTAATTAGTTGCGTGTTATGGCCGGCTGTGCATTTCTCGTTAACTTAATGTATTGGTGTGTGTTAATTGTTATACTTGTGTATTTTGGCGAGGAAATCATGATAAATTAATTTTATTTTTGACGACAAGCGCTTGAAAATGAAACATCAGTTTTAAAACTAGTTACCCAAGACTACACTAGGATTGATGACGTAAAATTTGTAAACCTATTTTATATTGTACTAAATTAAACATAGTTGTATGTAAGTTTATATAGACCTACTTAAGAAAAAAAAAAAAAAAAAAACTAAGAGTGAGTAACTAAAAGTGATGAAAATACTGGTCTTGATAATTTGTTTACAAACTTTAGCTGTATAATGAAAAACTTGTACATAAATATATGCAATAAATTTATGCATCAAAGATCACTTACACTGTTGAGCACTATTTTGAATGACTTCATCAGAGTGTCGGGATCAGCAGATTCTTCACTGAACTTTGAGACCCGGGTGTTGCGAGCGGACGGCTTCCACCCAGTCTCCCGGATACCCGGGATGCTCTCTATAGGGATCACCTTCAGTCCCTCCCGGAAGCATGACAGTCCCGGATGCACCTTGTGGGCCTCCTGCTTGCGTTGGTCCAGCAACCTCTTGATGATCTAGTAAAATAAATACTTGTGAGCCAATATATATTCCAATAAATATGAACTTTACGGTGGAAAAATTTAATTTAGAGTTATAGACAAAACCACAACCATAATAAGCAAACTTCTTCACCATACCTATCTTTTAAAGATAAAGATCCTAAGATTAGGAAACAATAGGGTATATTCACCCTAAGGTATATTCATCGTATCGACTCCTCAATACAACTTTGGAGGATTTACCCCTTCCCGGATGGGCAACTTTTATGTCCTAGGATGGGCAAAAATAAATTAAATTTAAAAAATTAGTTTTTTATATTTGTGTTTTTTTATACCTGTACCGTACATAAAATAAACACAATGGAACATCTCATACTATTTAAATAATTTTTCACTTGTTTTTATTCACAAAGTAAATTGTGCGGATAAGCAGAAAAACGTCTTTGAAAATATGGCCATGACAAGGATAGGCAATAAATAAAGAACAATATGCTATCACTATTTCATGCTGCTAGACAGAAAACAACTACAGAAAACAACTGTAGCTTTTAGCACCAACAAAGTCAATGTTGTGCTGGGTTGGAAGAGCGCGGTTAAACTTAAAGTTTACTTTACAAAGTAGTAGCCTTCAGGATTTTTAAATTTGTTTGCCCAGCAAATAAATAAACATAAACTCTGGAAAAAAACTACCTTAACCCTAGGAGTGGCGGGACCAATTTTCAGTATGTGCGGTGTGGAGTGGCAGGCAAATTTTGGTGAATTTGCAAGGTTTTTTTCAAAAAATTTTATAAAACTAGTTAGCAGAGATAACCTATTGAACCTCATACTCTTTTTGTTCCTAATAGTCAGTAGAATTCAAAAATCGCAATAATAATTACTTTTGAAAGATGACTTTAGAGGTAAAAGTAAAAAAAAACAAAATTTATATATTTTTATAAATTTATTTCAAAAGCAAAAACTTGTCACATAAATTCTAAATTTTTATTGAAAAATTCAATATATACATACTGTGTACAATTTGTTTCTCTACATAAAAATACCATAATATATGAAATTTTTTTTTTTTATACGAGAAAAAAACGGAAAAACTACAAAACGTCAAATTTTACACTAACTCTTTATCAGATTCAAAAATGCCCTATAGTTATAAATAAATATTATAAAGCCAGATGTTTTTGAAAGCTAATAATATTCCAAATAAGAATATATATAACAAGTTTGGGAGAAAAAAAATTTTCTTTACTTATTATATTCATTGATATATGAAAAAAATATTTTGAAGAAAAAAATTTTTGAATTGAAACTTATATAAATATTTTGTAAAAAGCCCCCATCACAAAAACAAAACATTATTATAATAGTAAATGTAGTACCCTTCAAGAATATATACAATTATATACATAAAAACTTTTTTTTATATTTACAAGAAAAAAAAACCCAAAAACTACAAAACGTCAATTTTTACACTAACTCATTGTCAGATTCAAAAATGCCCTCTAATAATAAATGAATATTATAAACCCAGATGTTTTTGTAAGCCCATAATGTTCCAAATAAGAATAGATAACAAGTTTGGGAGAAAAAAAAATTTCTTATCTTATTATAAACATTGATATATGAAAAAAAAAATTTGAAGAAAAAATTTTTTGAATTGAAACTTATATAAATATTTTGTAAAAAGCCCCCATCACAAAAACAAAACAATATTATAATAGTAAATTTAGTACCCTTCAAGAATATGTACATATATGTATATGTATATATATATTTGTAGCCCATATATGAAAAATATGAAAAATCGATACGACGCCTGTATACACGTTTGGTTTATTGGAATAGATAAATGTAAAAATATAAATTTCCGGCCACTTGAGCTAAAATTAGCAGTGTAATGATAATTTATTAGATTCTATTTAGGATTGTATATGTATATAGGCATATACAGAGGGCATATATATCAAAAATATGAAAAAAATGTAAGACACATTAGGCCTATATAGTATTTGTGCCCACTACTAATGAGATAAATATAAAAGATTTAGATAATATTACAAGAAAGCACACAATTTAATTAGATAATATGACAAGAAAATACAAAACACCAAGCCTATTACAACTAACCTAAAACAAAACATAAATACCCCCGCCGCAGCAAACCTGCAGACTAAGCGAATTTCCATTTCCCTGAATGGATTTACACTAAAATGTCTCCTTAACATTATCACATTTATTCCCTATTTAAATAGAATCAGTTTAAAACATACTTAGGTTTGCTGCAACAGGGAGGGTAAAAGTGTTTTTTATGTAAAATGTTAATAGTTAGTAAGAAATAAAAACATTTTCCAAATTTGGGCAAAATATGTTTATAAACAAGCAAACTACAACAGTTTACTTATTCTCCATAAGAATAACATGGGAATTTTAAATTTACAATTTTTTGGAATTTTCTCCGTAACCATTAGGCGCATTATAACGCTTCAATATACTAAATTATTTGTTTTTTTAAGCTCTACAAAATAGTTTCGAAAGAAATTGCAAAATTTTATGGTTTTTGGGTCAAAAATGGGAAAAACCCATTTTTACCCCATAACAGCCCCCATAAACCCCCGTTCCCATGGTCCGATCATGCTGGTTCGCGAACTCGTTCGAATAAACGTAGGTTTACACGTTTGTACCAAATTTCATCAAAATCGGATCATTTTTGCTCGAGTTATCGCGCTAACGGACACATATATATATATATATAAATATATATATATATATGAATTTGAACGGATGGTGTTTTTGACCTCTAGGGACCTCAAAACGAAAAAAAAAATCGGTCCCGGGTCCAGGTCTTACCGTGAGTACTACGGTAATAGCTTATTCCCTATATGGGAAATTCGCTAAAAAGGTGTTTCACTCAACACTCAACTCTTTAGCGGGGTTGCTGCGGTCCCCTACGCCTACGGGGTGCGACGTCATGCTGGAGTGAGTCTGCACACAGTTTATGAACACCAGCATCACAGGGCGGACAGTAATATGTCCCCTTTTTTGTTAGTCCTTTACTTTTGCATACAACACATATTCGGCCAAGACCAGGTGGCATCTTGATGATACGGTGTTCTTGCTCAGGAGCAGGCGGTTGTTCCAGTACGGCATCAGGGTCATCAAAGTCAATTTCAGGACCAGCATCAGGGCCATCACCAGCAGGACCAATGGGACGCGCAGGGGGTGGGGCCTGAGTATTGACGGAACATAGTTTACTAACCAAGTCAACGACAAAGTTGAATCTAGACATATGATTTGGGTTTTGGGCCACATACAAAACATATGCGTTATACACAGCCATGTCGATAAAGTTGAAAACTATTTTCCGCCAATACTTTGTAGTAGTACGAGTGCAGGAGATGTGGTAAACACTTTTGTCTTTTGAGTCCACACCACCCATGTGCTGGTTGTATGTCTGTATAACAACCGGCTTTACAGACCTTCTTCCACTCTTACTGACACTTTCTGTGTCCTGAGCATGAATGGCTGTTGTGATTAGGTGCACCGGTTTCCTAGTGTCCCTTTCCTTGAATTTCACAAGGAGAACTGAGCCCGAGGGCTCAAATCTTCTTCTGAAATACATGGCTTCGCCAACAACCAAAGCTGCTCTCTGGACAATTCTCGAAACTTCCTTGCTCCGCTTATTTATCGTGCCAGTCAAGAAGGTGTTACGACGATACAAGAAACGGGACAGAGGAATTTTCGTGTAAAAGTTGTCCGTAAAGAGATGGTATCCTTTGTTCAATAAACCCACTTTGGTACACAGAAACTCAACAACTTTATGGGTGAATGGATCAACACCCCCAGACAAGAAGTACTTACCACTGTAAAGAACAGACTGAAGAACATACCCCGGTGCACTGTCACACAATTCAAATTTCTTTATACCAAAGCGTGAGTGTCTCTTATTAGGCATGTACTAGATGAAAGTAGTACGGTTTTTCATCCCGATCATACTTTCATCAATACATACCTCTTGTTTTGGAATAAAATAATGCCTAAAGCTGTCATTCATCATGTCGAGAAATTCACATATTTTCACCCAAGGATCATACCCTGGTTGGTCTTTGGGTGGAGATACGCGAGAACTCAGATGCAGCATAGACATTATGCTCTGAAAGCGTCGTAGAGACATCACTTTGCTATAGAAAGGTAATTCTAGCACAGGGTTCTTGGTCCAGTATTCTGTGACGTGCTTACGACGGGTAAGTCCCATTGACAAGAGAAGGCCAATAAATTTCTTCATTTCTTCCACTGAGACATCGAACCAGTTGAGCGTCAAAGGTTCCATTGGAGGAGGTGGGGGTGAATCAGGGAAAAAATCAAACTGTTCTGGGTTCTGTGTTCGCAGAAAATCTGCGGGGATATCTTCACGGTCCGAAGTATCCAGATCATCGATGTCAGGAATGTAATTGTCCTCACTTCAGCTGGAAAAATCCATCAGGTCATCAGCTGATATGTCTGAGTCTTCGTCAACTGCGGTTTGCAGGATCGATGACAACTGAAATCGTTTGGGACGTTCACTTATCCGGGTCGAGCTGGTACCAACGTTTTTGCGTTTTAAAATGTCCTTTTTCATGGCGGCTTCATTTTTTTGTCTCAAAATGAGTTTATCGGAGGGGTAACTGCTGCAAGAAGGTACTGCCAAATCAATAGGAGGTTGTGGGGGGGTTGGAGCATGATGCGAAGTACCGGTATCTATTATTTTTGGAGAGAGCGCAGAAGGAAGGGGGGTCGATGTACGAGGGGGGGATGTATCAGGGGTGGGTCCTTGTAAAGAATAAGAGGATTGAGAAAGTTCAGGATTGGAAATGGAAGAGGCAGCTAATTGTTCAATTTGGAAAACAGGCTGTATTTCACCAAGTGTTGGTAGCACATTAGGCCTAGGCCTAGGCCTAGTGGGTAAGTCCTTGTGGGGGCGAAGGGGCACATCAGGTATTGACTCATTTGATGGGGTATTGTAGCCAGGATCATCCACTGATAGATCCTCTTCATCAGAAAAGGGCTCAATATCGAGCGCCTCTAAAATTGAAGATTCATCCATGTTTCTGAATGCTAAAATAACACAAAAACTCACTGATTTTATATCCAATTTTAGATCGCACAGTGTAGATATTTATGCAAGCTAATGCATAAATATTATACATAATACACTACACTACACTAAACCGCACATATACACAGTAAAATTACGCATTTACACCAAATATACGGACAAAAACTTACACTTATTGTTGCATAACAACTCGCGATTACAACGCCATTTTTGGTTAGCCGATGACAAGTGTCATTTTTTTTTCAGCTGTGAAATATCCAAAACTTCTGTCAGAGTGACCAACCTGACAACATTGAATTCTACGTTTCTTCGTCTATAAGGACATATATAACACAACGATATTTGTACTTTTCTTGACATATATATATGCGATTTAGAAATCGACATTTTATGTCGATCCGCCACATGAACAATACGTAAAAATAGGCTATTTACAAAAATTGTTCATCAGCTGTTGGAATGTATTATGACGTAATACTTTATACAGAATAAAAGCTTACTTCATGCTTGTTGCAGTGGTACCACTTGCTTTTGTCAGAGACAAAAATTACGTCTGCTATTTATTTTTGAAATGACTCATCTTTTATGATTTCGCAACAAAACATGGCGTTCGCGAGTTAGCGCGTATTTTTCGTTTAAATGTAACTCATTATAAGATCGATATATTTATGTTATAAGGTTCATTCTTGTAATAAAATGAAACTTCGGAATCTTATCTTTCCATTGGTATAAGAGTTATCTAATTTCACCGACTTTAAATGTGCTTAACATGCAACGGAAAAAAACTTTACATAAATCAACATATTCTGTCGCCCGCCACTCCAGCGGCACATTTTGAAATCGACATTTTCTGTCGGTCTGCCACTCCTAGGGTTAAGGTGGGACTGGTAAACAGCTGTTACCTACCTCTTTCTGTTTGCGTACGACTGAGATGAACTCTGTATAAACTATCCTGGGGTTGAGATGACAATGCATCAACATGGCTCCCTCGTAGTCCTTGATGTATCCTTGGTAGACTGTCTTGTTCAGCTTGATATCTTTGCTGAAACCCTGTTTCCTGAAGTAGCCTGTGAAGACAAAACATTGACACAATATAACTTTTTGTTTTTTATTGTAGATTCGGTTTCGAGGGAAAACATCTAAGCTTTGATCTTTGTTTGATTAGCTTTACTTTTCTTTAAAGTTATACATTCTTTTTCACCACTCTATGATGTTTCTAGCTGTTTTACACACGTTAATTGGTGGCTGAAAGTTACGTTTTGTTGGCCATGCCAGCTGTCATTGTCATTTGGGGACCAAACAGGTTTTTACATCCCTAGGGCCGCAAAATCAGCTGCCCGCTTACTTTCTTATATTAAATACACAATCAGTATCCATAGCATTGCAATAGAATTGTTTTATTGTCACTGCTGCCTAGCAACTATTTATTATTATTATTTTTACTGTTTCCTCAAATTATTTCTTCACATAACCTTAAAGTTGTAGTTGTGTTGACTATCAGTGTGCATTAATAATGTGGTGAATAGTGGTAACAGGGTGGTATAGTGTGGTGAAAAATAGCGTTTGTACCACGGACCGAAATGGTTTTGCAGCTCTCGACCGTTTTAAGTTCTCGACTTCATCTCGAACTTAAAAACTATCTCGAGCCGGCAAAAACCTCATTTTCGGCCCTAGGTATGAAATATACTATAAATATTCTAGTGCAATAAATTCATCCGTAAAGGAAAACAAAGATCTGTTGTCATCTAATTGATCACTTAATAGGGTTGTAAAATTAAATTCTAGAATGTTTGTGAGTGTTTGTACCACAAACACGTGTTTGTACATAAAAATTTATGTACAAACACTTTAAAAGCATCACAAAAATTTATGTACAAAAGCTTGGTTGTAGTTTATAGTGATAGTTTTAGCGTAACTCTGAAGATACCAAACCCTGTGGCAAAATGTGTAATTTGCAAATCAGTGTATTGTTTGAACTTCAAGAACACAAGGCAACCAACAAAATTAAAGGTAACCACCAATGTTTGGTCTGGTGAACACTGGGAATCAATTACTATTCTTAGTTACTAAATATCTGATGGCTAATAAATCATATTTCAAACTAAACATCTGAGAGCATTTGTGGAGTGTTTAGTCATTAAATCCTAGTATGGTATTACCGATGGCGTTCTCATCTGCATACGTGAGGAAGTGGTGGATGCCAATGGAGATGTGGTAGTCTTTGAGATGGTTCATGAGATGAGTGCCGTAGCCTCGCACCTGCACGTGAGAGCTCACTGCGCAAAACACAATCTCCGTGAAGCCCTGCGTCGGATACACGCGGAAACAGATCCCACCGATCGGCTGCTTGTCCTTGATCAAGGCGAGAGTCCGGTGTTCGCTGCAAGTCAAACATATTGAAGCTTTAATCATGAGTGAATCTTACAAAAAGGGCGTAGTCAGAAGAAGCTCATTTGACATTGTTTCAGACATCTAGTGATTTCAAAGTAGTGCACGTAGCGCCACACTAAAAATAATGGTTTTGTAAAAGGAGATGAGCGGAGATAAGACCGCTGATTGCTATTTTGAAAAGGAGGCAAAAAATATGTTTACCAAAACATTGGAAATGTTCTCTGATTCTTTGCAATTCACAAAACTAAGAAGAAAATTCTCTCCCTTACCAAAATGGCTGAGAGAATATAATGGCAACTGTTAATATTTTTGAATGAATTCCTAAAGGAAAAATAGGATTCAGATTAGGATTTATAAAAAAAATAATGAAATGAAACTGAAATATTGGGATAATTACTTACTAAACAATCTCCTTAATTAGTCTAGTCATTCTCATTGAAATATGAAACTGCAAACAGAAGGAAGTCATACCAGTCAAAGACAAGCCTGGAAATGTACTCTACAGGCATCTTTGGCAGCTGATGTGAAAAGACGTTCTGTAGTCCAATAAGCCACAGGATTGTCTGCTTAGTGACCTTCTTGGTGAGAGAGTTACCCACAAGGAAGAACTCTATGACACCAGCTGCCTCCTCCTGCTTGGCAACCTCGTCTCTCGGCCTGCGCAGCAGATTCTCTTGAAACACCGTGGGACCCTGGACAAGACATTATAGTTGATCAGCCACATAATCTTCTGCTTGATGCTGGAGTTTCCTTGAGGACGAACTCTATTACACCAAATGCCTTCTCCTGCTTAGCAACCTCATCTCTCGGCCTACGCAGCAGATTCTCTTGAAGCAACGTGTGACCTTGGTCAAGATATAATTAATCAGTCACACAATCTTCTACTTGATGAAGGAGTTTCCTTGAGGAAGAACTCTATGACACCAGCTGCCTCCTCCTGCTGGGAAACTTTGTCTCTCGGCCTACGCAGCAGATTATCTTGAAACACCGTGTGACCTTGGTCAAGATATAATTAATCAGTCACACAATCTTCTGCTTGATGAGGGAGTTTCCTTGAAGAAGAACTCTTACTCTTGGTTCCCCGATTGCCAGAATAAGTTCATCTTGCAATACAGTGGGATCCTAATCGTGGACTAGATGAAAATTTATCATCCAATTGATCTTCTGCTTGACGATAAGAGTTGCCTTAAAGAAGAATCCTGACATTAGATTTCTTTTGCTTGGTAACCTATTCGCTTAACTTCTAAAACAGTTTATCTCAGAACTGGGCAAAGATATTACTATTGGGTGTCTGTTGTTGCTTTAATTCAAATACATCTATTTAGATAAAAAAAAACTGGTGACAAATTTGACGTGGGGATGTAATGTCTAGCTCTAGGCCTATCCATTGTCAAAGTTAAAAACTAGCCCCAGATCAAGTATCAGCTGTAACACTGTTCATTATCACATCTGTTTACAATTAATTACAACGGAATGCTCACCCCTGTAGTAATGGAGGGCTGGTTATCTCCTATGGAAGCTATGATTTCCACCACCTTCTCATGACTGAAGTCCTCAGCTGGTTCTCCGTCCAGCTTTCTACGCTTGAGATCCGGCGACCGTCCACTGCTTTCACGCTGCTTCTCCCTGTCACACAGTCAACATACAATACAACTACATCTAGATAAAATTGGATGTTTGTAATATTTCTCATCTTTCTTTAGGATTGACTTGTAATTTAAAAAAACATTTATATTTCACATCATGAAAAAGTTGCAATATTATGCTTCTCACTAGCACCCTATAATGTGTAAACTGTATTTTTTATCAACCAGCATTAAATGTTACGTTTCATTAATGTCATGTGCTTATTTTTAAACTAGATCAATACCAATCACCGCCATAAGGGATTTTTAACCAGCTTGCATTCTACCTGAAGAAGTGTGTATAAAGCACAGACTTCTTCATATTAAATTAAACTACAACAGATCAATGCAACCGTTTTAACACATGCAACATAATCCTTTGTTACTAACAATTCTGATCTTTCCATCACAAAATTGAATATGGATTAAATTAACACATTTCACCCAGACTACACATGTTAGGCCTACTTTCCCTTTGATTAAATGAAACATATTTTTATGAAAGAGGACTTTCAAAGTTCAATTGTGTTTTGTTCATAGCAGAAGTAGGCTTTAACACTCACCCGTCTCCACGGAGTGCCTTCTTGCGTACACTTGGCAGCCCGGGCGTGAGGTTGACTGTTGTGAAAGAATCCTTGTCATTAGGAGGGACACTGAGCTTCTCAAACTGCCCAGCCCTGCGCACTACTGGAGAACCTGTACACAACCATCCCATGTAGTTACAAACAAACATTGACTGAAATAATTTGTATAAACACCATAAAGCTTATCTTCATTGAGAAGCTTCCAAAGTGAACTAATATTGAGTTATGGGATTCGGGCGATGACCATTGACCATGTCAACAACAGGCAAAAATTCACTCTGATTTACACTCCATGGACACCTACCCCTAACTAAAACCAATACTCTTGCCATGGGAACACCACTTAGATATTCACTGTGCAGATGACAAGTAAAGGTGGCAAAGATGACAATCTGTATTGACGCTGAAGTGTTAGTGTGATTATGTTGTATACAGCTGTCAAACCACGTATCTACCATACAAAATGTCTGATATTGAGTGAAGTCATGATGAGATCAATACTAAAAAAAGTCTTAAATACATTAAAAGAAGAATCAAATTATTCTTATTACCTTAGGCCTACTTATTTTTAAAATAAAACTGAAATATGTCACCTATCCATGCTATTTCTTGATTTGCTAATTAGGGGAAAAAAACAATTCAAACATTAATTTTAGTCTATGTGGACGGGCAAATGCAAGGTTAAAAGAGGCCGCCAACCTCTTAAAAAAAAAAAATTAACTTTGTCCAATTAAGGTGCAATATTTTACTCCTGAAAATACAACTAACTGGATAGATGAGATGAAAAATGACTACAGTATTCACTTTTAAAACAGTTTTACCAAACAACATTTGGTCATACAGTAGAACTCCGGTTAACCAAAATCAAGAGGGGAGAGCCGTTTTGGACAACAAATTTTTTGGTTAACCCATCAAATACTAAAATAGCCTATGTATTATGTATTACAAATGTGTGTAGGAAAAATGAATTTAAAACAATATAATACAGTGTTTTATTTAAACTACAAAAAAGTTACAATGGGTTATAGAAAAGCCCCTTTCGGGAGAGGAAAGGGCCTTTCTGTTTACATATTACTTATTGTACTTATATTTTAGCCCTGTATTAAGTTATGGAACCGTTTCGGTTAACCGGGGTTTTACTGTAGGCCTACTTTACAGTCAAAATAGTTTTGTTGTAATTACAGATAAATTTCCACAATATTCAGTTGAGCGAGCACCAGGGTAGTGTACAAGGATCCTTCCATCAATAAATTTGGTTGTAATGGCCTCATATGCTAGATACTATGATACTACTCAATTGTAAAAAAGTCACTCTAAAAAGAAATCACTAGGAAACCTATTCATTTCTCAAAGGTAAATCACTATTTAACCTCAATTTCAAATATTACCTACTTTACCGTTATAGAAAATATTTTGCCTTGATCTATAGGTATTTCATACAACAATAAATTGAACATTCAAAAAGGTAATTTAAAAAGTCAAGATAAAATCCTTGTAGTTTATTTCAAAATATAGCCACCAACGAGGTAATTGACATACTGATGGTACAAGCATACCTTTACTATCAGGCAACATTTGCAGATGTTGAGGAGGAGTTTGTTTGAACTCAGGGTCCCAGATGGGAGAGTTGGACAGGTATATCTCCTCTTCAACAAGCTGTAGGAACCTGAAAGAAACATTCTGTATTAAATAAGATATTAAACGTTAAAGAATCTCTTTAGAAAGACAATTCACAATTATCTATGTATCGGCCTATTTCACTTGATTGTAAACAAGACGGTTGCGGCATTTTGACACAAAACATAACCTCAAAACTCCCACTTGTTGTCAAATATTTTTGTTTTCCAAAACAGGTCAAAAGACAACAAAAAACTGAAAATACACACAATAACTATTACAGATTCACAAAAAAAATTATTGACCCAACAAGTGCTGCGATCCCTCGGAACAATTTTTAGCTAGTAGCAATGTCCCAGGGGGGAAAAGTTTTGTCTGGGAATGCCAGGGAGCATTAGCGGCAGGACAGAAGTGTATACCACTCTATCCATGTATACCAATGGGTTAACTTAGATAGAGCACTGCACTGCACTATAGTCTGTACGATAAAACTTGTTTCCTGACCTTTTATCTACCTAGGACTGCCCGAACCTTGTGATTATAGCTAATAAATAAAGGAAAATCTACAGGATTTACTTAGGGAAGTGTGTGAGGACAAGCACTCGCTTCTCAGGTGGCATCCTGTCCCTCTCACTATGGCACTTGTCCATCAGCTGACGACGGACAGAGCGGAACACGGCGCGCAGCAGCGTTCGGCCGAACACCAGCGTCGTCTCAAAGTGCTGCAGTGAGTCACAGAACACAGGCACGTGGCAGAATACCAGCCATCTGAATATAGCCACAAAAATATGTTCAGGTATTTAAAATACTGTAAGTATGATTTAAATGATTAATTCTTCGATTCATCTGCACCACAAAACCTAGATTGGCCCTTTATAGGGCCGAGGGAGTGTTCAGTATTCATTAAAGGTAGACCAGCTAATGTGACAGAGAGAGAGTCGATTGCACTGAACATTGAGGTCATAAGAAAACTGTGCTAAAATTAACATAGGCCTAACTTCAAGTCATTAAAAAAATAATAATTTAATATTTGTAACAAATACAGTCCATTATGATTTTAGTAAGACTTCATTGGCCAACAACGAAGCCATAATATATCAAAGTGAGATAAGGTATTTCATAAGGTAACTTAAGGCCATAATTTCCTGCCCTGAGTTGTTGTTTCCGTTGGACACTAAATGTTTACCTGGTGTAGTTGACTTTGTACGCAGATATTTCCTCTGCGGAGACAGTCTGTTTACGAGCACTCGGAGTCTCAAAGTTCCAGTGGTTGAGGCAGTGAAGCAGCATCTTGGCCAAATCGTACATCGTTTGCCATTCCTGATGTGTTAGAATATTAAGAGATTAAAGTACAGTAGAAACATTTAAAAAATAATAAATGATACTTTGTCTTTACAGTCAATGAATTCTATGGCCCAAAAAGTTATTAAATAAAAACCAACCCCCAACCCTCACATAAAAAATTATGCCAGCTTTTACGCTCAAATTTTATAAGACAGCTGCAAATTGTTTGCATTTATAGGCAATGTCTAGTATTACTAACAGAATATGAAGAGTGTAGCATACTGTTCTTACTTAAACCATAGATAAAAGAATTAAATATAGGCAGACAGCAGTGCTGCGGTTAGCATATAATCTGGCGTCCACCGCTAGAAGTGCCAACAGCCAACATACCAAAAGCAAAAGCAGTTTCGGCGCACACCGCTGCAGCGTCAAGCGCTAGCAAACATTGTTATGACAAGTTGGTAGTTGGAGCCAGGGTTGCCAACTAGCGGCACATTAATGGAACGTTCCATTAATAGTCTATATTTATTCTATTTGCCTATGCTTAAAAAACAACTAACTGGCAAAACAGATCAAAGATATGACTAAGCCCATATTAGTAATTAATTAACATCAATGTCAAACATTCTCAAACCTACATGTTAGGGTTTTCAAATACCCCCGCCGCAGCAAACCTGCCGTCAAAGCGAATTTCCATTTGGCTGAATTGATTTTCAATCGATCTATTTAAATAACATTAGGTTTAACGAGTACCTAGGTTTGCTGCTACAAGGAAACTAATAAATTGTGTGTTTTAAGTAAAATAATTATTGCTTAGTAGAAAATGAATATATTTGCCAAGTTTGATCAAAAGATATCCATAAACACGCAAACTACAACATTTTACAATATCTATACTATTATAAAGAAGAGGTGGTGTCTGTGTGTGTGTGTGTTTGTATGAGGTAATCTCAAAAACTACAGAACCGGACTGGGCTCAAATTGCACACAAATGAAGCTACAGCTCCGAGGATACATATAGAACTATTCCCGCTTCGATATTGTCCTAGGGCTCCGCCCCGTGGGCTTTCAAAAATTTGAGGTGAGAGATTTAAAAGTAAATATTGATTGATGGTATCCATGGTAACAAAGAACCAACCTACAAAGTTTAAAAATGTAAACAAGCAGAACTAACTGTCAAATGAATTTTGATTTCACAATTCCACACAGCTGGTTCAAACATATTAAATACTGCACGAATATTAGAACAGAGAGGGTAAGGATTATAAATTTAAAATAATGATGTCACTAGCCCGAATGTAAACATTATTTAACATTACTTAATATATACAATAATATATAATAAAAAAAAAAAAATTAACATTACTTAAATGGAGTTGAATGGAGCTGTCAAACCATATGTTAATGTAATTTTATTAGCAGTATATGATTCTTTCAGTTACTTCATTTGTTTATGTTTATGATCTATTATACTGAGTCTGTTCTAATATTTGTGAAATGCTGTAATAATATTTTACAGGGAATAAATCTTTGTAAATAAATTGTTCATGGATATAGGAAATAATTAAGATTCTATAATCAGAAAGTTTGGATGTACGGAAGTATAGATGTATGGATGGATGGATGTTTGTGACAAGTAAACGCGAAACCACAGCTAAAAACGCGAAACCACAGCTAATTTTAACCAACTAGCAACAAAAAGTTGTGGTACACAATGAGAACTTAACTTTTTTTCATGGTTTAGGTGCAGTGGTAGAATATTAGGGCTATGGTAGATACTATAGGACACTATATGATACTATATAACTTAATACCGTATAAATTAAAAGACCAAATTTTAATAGGCCTAAACCGTGTCCTCTCCCATAACTACAAAAAGCATTTATACTTATATGCCAACCCCGTACGAAGGACGGGTATTCTGCTAGTTCTCCATAAGAATAACATGGGAATTTTAAATTTTCAATTTTTTTAGTTTTCTCCGTAACCAATTTTAACCGTACACAAACACTTTGACATACTGAATTTTTTGTTTTTTTAAGCTCTTTAAGAAGGTTTAGAGAAAAATTGGGAAATTTTGTGTTTTGTGGTTCAAAAGTGAGAAAAACAAATTTTTACCCCATAAAACCCCCCATAAAACCCTGTTCCCATGGTCCGATCATGCTGGATCGCGAACTCATTCAAGTTTATCCCGCCTTACACCTTCAAACCAAATTTCATCAAAATCGGATAAAAATTACTCAAGTTATCGTGTTCACGGACACATATATACAGGGTTAGTAAAAAGTGTGGAGACCCCCTGTTATTTTTTTAAAGGCCCATACTACAAAAACTAAACTCGGCACACCTTTATGGCATGTTATGATGTACTTTTTGGGCATAACCGTCTCTTGGTGTACATCCCCAAAATGGGGGATTTTGGGGGAAACTCAAAAGTTTCAAATACAAAGACCTATCGAGTGACCCCTCATTTTGAAGGTCCTGGGAAAAGAAAACAAAAAACGCAAACTAGAGGTCTTTATCTCAATCCAGTAAAAAATGGCAGCCAATTTAAATTCTCAGAAGTTGAATTTAATTTGCAGCTTTCCAAGTCTGGAGACCCCTTGTAAATTTTGTAGCGGCTCACACTAGGAAAACTAAACTCTACACACCTTTTTTGCATGTTATGAAGTACTTTTTAAGCCTAATAGCCACTTGCTTACCAAACCCAAAATGGGGGATTTTGGGGGAAACTCAAAAGTTTTTAACGATAAGCCCCATCAAGTGACCCCCCATTTTGAAGGTCCTGGTAAAAGAAAACTAACAACGCAAACTAGAGGTTTCTATCTCAATCCAGTAAAAAATGGAAGCTGATTGAAATCTTTAGAAATCGGAAATAACTTGCAATTTTATATTCAATTAGCTGCCATTACTGTGTTAAGATAGAGACCTATAGTTTGCGTTGTTAGTTTTCTTTTATTATGACCTTCAAAATGAGGGGTCACTCAATGGGGCTTATCATTTAAAATTTTTTAGTTTCCCCCAAAATCCCCCATTTTGGGTTTGGGAACTTATGAGAATTTCAATTGGCTGCCATTTTGTACTGAACTAAGATAGAGACCTCTAGTTTGCGTTGTTGGTTTTCTTATACCATTACCTTCAAAATGAGGGGTCACTCGATGGGTCTTTGTATTTGAAATTTTTTAGTTTCCCCCAAAATCCCCCATTTTGGGGATGAACACCAAGTGGCAGTTATGCCCAAAAAGTACTTCATAACATGCCATAATGGTGTGCCGAGTTTAGTTTTTCTAGTATGGGCCGTTAAAAAAATAACAGGGGGTCTCCACACTTTTTACTAACCCTGTATATAAATCTATATATATATATATACATATATAAAAATTTGAACGAATGGTGTTTTTGGCCTCTGGGGACATCAAAATGAAAAAGTAAATCGGTCCCGGGCCTAAGTCTTACCATGAGACCTACGGTAATAGCTACTTCCCTATAGGGAAATTCGCTAAAATTAAACAACAATTATGATTGTAAAAAAAGTTTTACATACTCTGGCAGCAGCATTGCTGAACTTGTACAGAACAAAGTTGGTGATAGCTTTGGCGATGCTTGGTCGCTCAAACGGAGGCTGTCCGAGTGGTCCTTCAATGGTAGGCTTTGTCATATCCACAATGCATCTCCTCAACAACTGTAGGTAGACAAAGACATTATAGCATAAGCTCGACGAGACATCAACAGTTAAGAAGACACTGTCCATCAGTGAACATACTAAAATTTTCTATTCCGATATGGCAATTTATAAACTTAGAGGTTGCGTACTTTTACAGAGATCCTTCTGGCAATTATGTTTTCTGACTGGTTGGTTTTGTCTTCCGCTATTCTAAAAACAGTTTAGCAGACTTGAGCGATCTGGTAGTTCAAAAAAAGGTTTTTCCCCAAAATCTACCTTTTAAGGTATCAAGGCTACACACGCTGGACTAATAAACTAAAATGTGCTAGCACATCTTCAACCCAACAAAACTTCTTAAAAATCTAAGTAAGTGTTTCTTGTACCTAATCAAATTGCTCAATTTTACGCTCGGGATAAAGCTTGTCCAGACCATTTTGTATTAAAAATGAGTTTTGAGCTGCTGTTCTATTGATAACTATCAAAGCAAGAAAGTACAAGAGATGGATCTGTGAGTTCAGCTATGTTGACTGGATTCAGTACAAAAGTTCATGTGCACTTGTTGTTTGAATTAGAGACCTACAATCTATGATTACCGGTACCTCAGGTCTTCTAAAAATAAACAAATAATTTCAATGAACATTTTCCCTGTTTTTTTTTCTTTCTTAAGATTTGATCAAAATTCTTTACAGGGTAATTAATTTAATCAAGAGGTAGGTATGAAGATGTAACGTGAACTTTACACCTAGTGTTGCTTCTAGAACTAGATAACATATTTCCGACAGCTGAATTTGTTTTACAAAATAATGTCCTTTAGTTGTAGAATTATTCTGACAGTTTTTATTAGCGACTGGGATGGGTGGCATCGTCTTGTAATCCAGCTACTAGGAGGTCACGAATTGTGGATATTTATAGGAATGCGCTGTGGATGCGATACTCCCTGGTATGGATTAACGTCCGCACAAGTGAGTTATACGACGATCCGCAGTCCTATCCTGATAATTAGACCAATTTGTATTTACCAAGGCAAAAATGTGGTTCGGATTCCACTATAAACTGTAGGTCCCTTAGTTGCCATTAGCTGTTTGGGCTATTAATTAACCCTCCGAGTGTTATGTGTCGTAAAAGCGACTCATAACACACTTTGAGTAGTTTTTTGTGTCGCTTTTGCGACTCACAAACACTGTTTACGGCGAAGGCTCTATGACTGACTAAATCGGATTGAACTGGATCGAGTTAGGTATAGTTTTTTTGGCAGATTCTAAGCTTTCTCCCGAGGACTGTCTCTAAGCGCTTTTTTTTCTCGAGCCGATCATAATTGTAGCAGACTGCTGACATGCGTATTTGTAAACAGCTTGGTTCTCGCACCGATGACTGATGTGTTTTATTACGTTTATCATTGTTTTAGTGTTAAAAATCAAAAGTAGTGATATACGTGGTGCATTATACGAAGATTTAAGTGATTTTGAAGGGCTGGTTGATGATCCTGAAGAAGTAGGTAGTGATATTGATGTAAATTATCAGCCAGATTCCTAGCTATGGTTAGGCTATGCATTCTTAGCTAAACGCTATGTACCAAAATCTGTTTTTTGCCCATTACTTATTTATTTGTAAATCTACTTCCTTAGATTATTATATTTTTGGAATCCTCATAAAATTCAGAACAAAGTGGCTATTTTAAAATATTTGTAGTCCTATAAATTATAACAATTTATTGAGCGCAAACATAAATTTTTTTCATTTATTTTATAATTTTTGAGAATTGTTAACCCCACAAAAATTGTTGAACATTTTTTTTGTAATGTTTTATAAGTTACGCTGAAGCCTATAATTTTCCAAACAAAATTATATACAGGGTGTCCCGGAACTCTCTACCAATATTTTAGGGCATATTTCCTGGGTAAGAAACATATCTAAATATCATATTTAAATTGTCCGGAAGTCCTTATTTACTCAGATAGCCGCCATTTTGTTTTTTTCACTTATTAATTTTTTTCTGAAAATTGGTTGAACATACGAAGTTGAAACTTTGCAACAACATTTATGACATCTAGACAAAGCTACAAAAAAATTATGACGATTTTTCAAATTCATAAAACAAAATGGCGGCTGTTTAAAATGTTGTTTCTTAAATTACTCGAAAACCGTTGATTTTACAAAAGTTTTACAAGAATATTTTTTTTAAGGCAATTTTATTACAAATCGATCGACACCTTAATCTTTAAGATCGGACGAGTATTAACTGAGATATGGCAGTTTTAGTGATACGTGACCGCCGGATATTAGTTGCAGCGCATGCTGAAAGCAGTCACGTATCACTAAAACTGCCATATCTCAGTTAATACTCGTCCGATCTTAAAGATTAAGGTGTCGATCGATTTTTAATAAAATTGCCTTAAAAAAGTTATTCTTGTAAAATTTTTGTAAAATCAACGGTTTTCGAGAAATTTAAGAAACAAAATTTTAATCAGCCGCCATTTTGTTTTATGAATTTGAAAAATCGTCATAATTTTTTTGTAGCTTTGTCTAGTTGTCATAAATGTTTGTGCAAAGTTTCAACTTCGTATGTTTAACCAATCTTCAGAAAAAAATTAATAAGCGAAAAAAACAAAATGGCGGCTATCTGAGTAAATAAGGACTTCCGGACAATTTAAATATGATATTTAGATATGTTTCTTACCCAGGAACAATGCCCTAAAATATTGGTAGAGAGTTCCGGGACACCCTGTATAAAACAGAATACTTTACATTGTTTTTAAGTTTCTAAGATAAATTGTAATAAAACCCTGTGATTGCGCAATAAATGGGCGAACATTAAGACCAAAACTAGAGACACTTGGAGGGTTAACAGCTGTGTCTAAGGAATGTCGGCCTTAGTCACTAACAAGACTACAAGATCGTGCCACTCATCCTAAAATACCTACTTTGTATGGTCGCCATTTACTAAAAAAGTATTAAAGAAAAGTGTATTAGAAATTCTATTAACTCACCTTGAAAAGATAGTAATATACTTTCTTGGTGTCGGGGTCCTCTTCTCGATGCATACTCATGAAGATGTTTTCTACATCCACAACCATTCCCAACAACCGATTCACCTCTTCCTCCTGCAACGACTTAAGATGTGCTACGTGTTGACCTACAAAAAAGTCATTAAAATAGGCTACATTACAGTACGGTAGGTTGAAGTACCATTTTATGATTTCAGCAATTTCGACTAGGGATGGTCCCCAAATATTAACTATAATTTTGTTATTGTAAGAAATCATGAGAAATATGCAAGGAAAACATTTTAAGAATTGCTGTTAGGAAATTTTTTGTTCTTAATCATATTGGCTTAAGAATTTGGATTTAAACAAATTAACTACTTAGGTTGGCAGAATTCCAACTAATGATGTTGAATTAATTAGGTCTACTTGACTCTTGGCTGTGTTTAGGAAATTTAGAAACAACCACAAAGTAGAAAAATATTTATTTAATAGACATAATCAACATGTCCAAAAGCTGTGTAGGGGAAAATCAATGTGTTTTTTTATAAAAGTCATAAAAAAATCATTTTCAAAATTCTCAAAATTGCTATGCATTAATTTATTTTCTCTGTTTCGGACTTGCAGAAATTGTGTTAAGCCACCATACTTCCGCTACAGACCGAGCTCAACACCCTATCTAAATCTAACTTTAGCATATAGCCTACAACTGGGTCACCTAAACCACTGAGCACCAGCAAAGGTTTACACCACCACAATCGAAGTACCATATTTTCTTTACACTTCAATTTACCGAGAATGTGAGTGCAGTTGGTGCATGGATCATTGAAGTTGGCAAGAGGCTGCGTAACGTCAACCTTAGAGTTCTTGGGAGGAGGGGCTGGTGCCTTCCACCCCCCACACTTGCACCCATCCGTCTGACACGCCGAGTATATTGCCAGCTTGAGTAGCTTCTTGGTGTGAGGCCAATTGTACACTTGCTGCTTCCGCTGTTGTATCCTTTGGAGGTTACTCTGCCAGACCGACTGATCCGCCGAAGGAGAGTTGCTGCCTCCCATGTTCTCCTCTCCTTGACTGTTGCTCGTACTAGTGCTTGGCCCAGCCTCGGTCATCTGATAAATAAAATAAAATAAATTAAATTCTTTAATAAAGTTGTAGGCCTAGTATTGATGTCCTAGAATAGTTTAAGTGTTTTATAACGTTTAAGCTGGGGTCTGGGTCCTAAAGAAGTACCGAATAGCCTAATAATTAAATGAACAATGTTTCCCTGAGTAGTAGGCCTAGGCCAAGTCTAAGTCAGCCCAAAATATGGGGAAGCTTGCGGATAGGTTAGGCTAGTTAAACTTAACTTGGTGAATATTTAGCCGAAATAGGCCTAGAATGCTAAAATTTAATTAGTAAAAATTCAGAAAGTAATGAAGTCTAAAGGTAGAGACCAAACACAAGGCCTAAAACTTAGGCTACCTAGACCTAGGCCTATGTCTTATTTTACCTTTACTATAAAACGCATTAGGGTCTAAGTTAGTAAAATTTAAAAAAAAACTTACCTTTTAACTGAATTAATATTTAAATTTTGATTTAATTATGCTAACAATTGACAGTAATAAACATTAGGAATAATAAATATTCCTAGTTTATAGTTTGTTTCCCTTTTAACCTATCTAACACAACAAAAAAACAAACAATTCCTATTCATTCGGATTCGGATCGGATAGGATAATGAGTCAATGAGTGGCGTTTGGCGTTCCATCCGACCCTAGCCATCCATATCGAAAATTCCGATTCCGAATCCGATTCCGACGGGAACGGGAACCAAACCGAGGAACCGACCACGACGAACGGAGCGGCTGAAGGGACGGTGACGTCATCATCTTCATCCGGAGAGGGTCCCTTCAGCCGCTCCGCACGACGGACAACACCAACAGTTCCAGAAATCGTTCCAGTTTTTTGTGAAACAGATTATTAAGAGAAATTACATGAAATAACAAGGACACCAAAGCTAAGCTATATAAGCTTATAAGCTATAGTCTGACACTAAACAACCTCATGGTGGAAGGAAAATACGGGAATAGAACACCTATGTATTTTCCTTCCACCATGAAACAAGAAACAACCCTACTTGCGACGTTGCCAATTCTACCAGGCCGCGGCCTGAAATTAAAGGTGGCCGTGGGTAGGGTCTTTTGTCTATGAAAATACGGTGAAGTTGTCGCCTATTTTTTTTAGCTTTTGTTGCCCTCTGAATAATGAACTCGGTTGCTTTTGATTGATATGAGTTTTTTGTCGTGAGCTTCACCATGTGACATCGAGTATCTATGTTTGCTTACAATTAATTCCTGTATATAATAGTCGGTTTCAGTTCTCCGATGATTATAATACAGATATATTTAAATTTTAACTGGTTTTTGAGGTGTTCGAAGGTATATTAAGAATTCCTCTCCTATTCCCAAGAATCAAACAAATAAAGGCGGCTATCCAGTTTGGTTCATTCAAGTTGGTCCGCAGCACCGCAGCATAAAGTGTTCGCAGTGTTTACTGTTTTACGAAGCCTATTTTTGAGCATGTAGTTTGAAAGTGGTGGTTTTTTCTGGGGCCACCCTGTGTGACCTCAGCAAGATTTTACACTATTGATGATGACATTTTGCTAAAAGAATTGAACTACTATGGTGTACATGGTATAAGTCTCAAACTGCTGGGGTACTATTTGGCCGAGCGTGTGCAGGTGGTTTCTTCCCATAACTTATAGGGTAGAAGCTACCGTAGGTCACTAGGTAAGACTTGGACCCAGTACCGAATTACTTTTTCGTTTTGACGTTCCCAGAGGAAAGAATACCATTCGTTCAAATCCATACATAAGTCATAAGTCCGTTGGCATGATAACTCGAGTCGCTGGGAGGGCCCACCAGGGAGCCTGGGGCGTATGGGCTACCCCCCAGTCTGGAGCGGGGTTCTGTGGGTTCCCCCAGGAAAATTTTAAAAGCAATATGTTGAAATTAGCGTTTTTACGCTATTTTAAGACATTAATATAACAAACCTAGCTCGATATTCAAAGAGTTTATAAAGTCTGAGATTATAAAGCGGCTTTATTTACGTCAATGGGGTCAGGGCAGGTTGCTTACCTGTACAATACACATTAAACTGTATTTTTGTGTCCATGCCAACTTTTCACATCCATTTATAACATCCGAAATATATGGTAAGCTATTTTGAAGAATGCCTGATAACCATGCCGTAAGAGTAATATTGTTCGTTACATTATTGTTGAAGGCAAATGAAAACAAAATAATGTCACAAAAAATAGGTTTATATTAATTCATTATACTAGACAAAGTTGTTAGTTTATACACATTCTAAGAAATTGGTCTTTTTATTACTACTGTTGGAATTTTTTATTTAAGAATAACTCAGAAACTGGTGAAAAATTTACAACATGTGTCAAAAAATGTCATAAAAAATCTGTAACTATCTTACTAATATTTTTTCATACTAATAACATTTTTCTTGGATCTCAATTTGTTATACCTTATCCTGGCTTGTAGGGAGGGGCAGCTGCCCCCCTGCCACTCTCTGGGCCCAAGGCACACTAAAAATACGCCATACGTGTAAATATAGGATAGTTTTTTGAACTACTGTAGTTCGTAACAGTATGATTGGACTAACTTATGAGAACTTGGTTTTATGTGGTAAAATGACTTTTCCAAGTTTTAACCCTCATCAAAATTTTTGTTCATTTTCTCTCAAAATAACTTGTAGAGTTAAAAAATAGAATTTTGTAAGTTGGGGCGTAGTTGTACGCCTATAGTTTACAGAGAAAAGTCAATGATTCTGTAAATAAAAAAAATCCTATGTTAATAACAAAATCCGCCTTAAATTAAATTTTTGTACGGTGGTACGACGGCCCTGAAGGTTTCTTCAGGTTCAACATTCAGTTTCTTTTTGTTTTTCATTTACTTCGACTTTATTCTCGAAGTACTTTGACTTTATTCTAGAAGTAATTCGACTTTATTCTCGAAGTAGCTCGACATTTATAGTCTAATTTCAACACACAAACTGAATGTCCCTTCAGGGCCGTCGTAAGTTTGTTATATGTTTGATTGATTGTTTTCTTTTTCTTTTTCTTTTGACACGATTGTCATGAACTTTGTACCATAGACTAACCAACACAAGGGAGTATGTTTTATCTATGTTTGTACTTAGTTTTAACGACATTAAAGCATTTCATTTTATTTTATAATTTTACGGCAACTGCAACCACGACTATTTAGTTAAATGTTAATGTTGACTAGCAGAGTACGGTACCCGTCCTTCGTACGGGGTTGGCATAGAAGTATAAAATGCTTATTGTAGTTATACTCAAGCTTTGCGTTTGCAATGAGGGAGGACACAGTTCGATAAAATTTGCTTCTTTAAATTTACAATATTCTATAGTATTACACATCTACCATAGCCATAATGTTCTACCACTTCACCTAAACAATTAAAAAAAAAAAAATTACCAAAGATTCGCAAAATACCACAAATTATTCATGAAATTAAAACATAAACATAACTGTAAACAATCCTACTTTGACAGTTAGTTCTCATTGTGGATCACCCATTGGGGCGGAGCCTGAAAGTATTTTTGAGATAAGAATATGCATATATGTTAATCGGGAATGACAGCTATCATCATGCCAAATTTCAGCCCAACCCGTCCAGTGGTTTATGCGTTACTGAACTTCAAACAAACACACAAACTTTCACATTTATAATATTAGTAAGATGTCAAACAATCGTACAATAATAATTTAAACTCATGATGAATTGGTATATTCAAGGTAATTTATTTAGTAACGTAAGGTAATTCTTAAAACCAGTAAACACGTTGCTCGAAATCAAGCAATTGCAAAGAAGTAAATTAGTTATTTAAAAACTAAAGTCATCATAATTTTCGATGAGTTTAAAAGACTTTGAATTGCAAAATAAATAACAGCAATTAAATTATACAGCTGATCAAAATGTAAACAATTATCTTCTTCATAAGGATAACATGGGAACTTTAACAGCCACTGGGACAGAGCCCAAGGAAAATTTTTCAAAAATGTAATGTCAGTTTGCAAATCTACGCGACACGCTCTTTCCAATGAGAAGTCAATGGATAAAATCGGTTAAGAAATGGCGGAGGAGTTCAACCGACAAAGTTTCAGGGAGTATGTTTTATCTATGGTTTCATGTAGCGTATTAATTATACAGGGTGTCCCGGATCTCTCTACCAATATTTTAGGGCATTGATCCTGGGTATGAAACGTACCTAAATATCATATTTAAATTGTCCGGAAGTCCTTAGTTACTCACACAGCCGCCATTTTGTTTTTTTCAGTTATTAATTTTTTTCTAAAGAATGGTTAAACATACGAAATGGAAACTTTGCACAAACATTTGTGACAACTAGACAAAGCTACAAAAAAATTATGAAAATTTTTCAAATTCATAAAACAAAATGGCGGTCATTTAAAATTTTTGTAAAATCAACGGTTTTTGAGTTATTTAAGAAAGAAAATTTTAAATGGCCGCCATTTTGTTTTATGAATTTGAAAAATCTTCATAATTCTTTTGTAGCTTTGTCTAGTTGTCATAAATGTTTGTGCAAAGTTTCCATTTCGTATGTTTAACCATTCTTTAGAAAAAAATTAATAACTGGAAAAAACCAAATGGTGGCTGTGTGAGTAACTAAGGACTTCCGGACAATTTAAATATGATATTTAGGTACGTTTCTTACCCAGGATCAATGCCCTAAAATATTGGTAAAGAGTTCCGGGACACCCTGTATAGATGTAGGGGTATCAGAATCGACAGATAACTCAATAAATATTCTGCAGATAGATAGAGAGTGTTTCTTTAGCACACATCATGACATTAATGAATAACTGATTGAACAATATTTTAATTTATGCCTTCAACAGCATGAAATACTTGCAATTCTTTTATTGAAGCATGACATTTGCATAAGTGAGTGGACACTTAAAAGAAAATGACAGAAACAGAGATTAAGTTGTGTATTCTGAAATTAGACAAAAAATATTGAACTATTTCGATAATAAAGTCGAAGTACTCCGAGAGTAAAGTCGAATTACTTCGAGAATAAAGTCGAATTACTTCAAGAATAAAGTTGAACTACTTCGAGATAAAGGTCAAAGAAATGAAAAACGAAAATAAACTGAATGTTCCTTCAGGGCCGTCGTATTTCGTAAACAACGAAGCAAGAACACAGAATTTTGTTTATAATTCTGTAGACAACAGAATGACTACTAGTAAAAATTAAGCGCAGGGTATAATTTATTAAAATATTTTATTATAGCTATAAAATTATAATGTATGTATACAAAGGCCTTTAAATCAATGGTGTTGACCATTGTTGCATTCAGAGTAACAATGTTCTCTATGTACTTACTTCGGTATCGTTACGTCATTCACATTCAACCAATCAACTTCAAGCCAAAATTACCCAACAGCAGCTGCGGCTTTACCGTAGCCATCATGATGAAAGATTGAGGGAGAGGGAGTCGGAAAGTAACTGAAGACAAGGAAGCAAGGCGAACATCGGTCCGGCGTGTTTAACACCTTTTCCACCACCTTAGGACGTCATGGCTGACCCGGAGAAGCAGCCCGAACAACCAAAGGCTGTACAACAAAAGCCCGTCCTAGGTATGTTTGAGATAAGTTCGAAAATCGAGCTGGAATTTGGAATTTTTCATTGCCGCGAAATCTCCAATTTCAGTTACCACCATGTTGGGAGGCACGGGAGTCCCCTTTGTGTTGGACTATCGTGGTTGTATAGTTTTAATTAATTAAATGAACCAATCCTTATAATAATTTCAATTAAATTGCATATGTAACTATGTCACTTTACCTACAATTATCTTGAACGACCGAATTTCACGCAAAAACATGATTCTACAAGCCCTCATGCCTTGAAGGGTTTAATCTAGGAACGATACCCATTCAAACTTTACAGTTTTGGTTTAAGTTAGTTACACTTAAAATTCGTTATTAAATTGATCTCATACCAATAGTGTTCGATATGTTCTAAAGTATCAGCAGTTTTTATGGGCCTAACTGAAACTTGGGGTAGCTTAACTTAGTTAGCTTTGGCCATTTGGACCTGGCCTTAAGTGCCAGTCAGACCACATGGTCTTTTCTAAATATTCTGCAAGTGCCTGTGATTCCTAACAAAAATAATTATAGGATTGAGATTAACGTGCAACACTATCACTACCTAAGTAACTGATTGATTCATTAAAATAAAGGTTCAACTTCTAACTTGTGAGTTGAACATTTTTAATATCTGGTATGAAGTTATTCTGTCAACCTGGATTCCATTCAAAGTGCTGTCTGGGTAAATTTCCGCAGGTGGGATAATTTTGTCAAGAGTTCTTAGCAGCCTAAACTTAATTAAGAACATTTTGCGGGTAGGCTAGCCTAATCAGACTTAAGTTTTTTAGGCAGGTAGGATATATCTGTCTGTCCTTTATTGTATTATTTTCATTCCAAAACTTAAACCTTATTTTTAGCAAGGATTAAACGCTCCTTTCACACTATACGATTTCACTCGTACGAGTGTTAGGCCTAATCGTACGGGCAGATTATCGTGGGTCTGTTGCTTTCACACTAAACTTAGATACGATTTGTAATCGTACGATTAAAAAATTGTAACTCTCCACTCCACCAGAACAGATTTCATTGGCACTAGTGGAAATTGTCAAGTAACTTACTGTAGTATGGATCAAAAGCAAATAATTGGTGCTTTGATAATTTACTGGTGGAGAAAAATAAAGAAACGCGACCGTCTCCACTAGGTGCATCAAATAAATTTTGAGACCTGAGGAAGTGAGGATTTTTAGAGCATTCAGCTTTCAAGATTTGAAAAATGACGAAGGAAAGTTTTTCAATTGTGGATGTCAAGAGAATCGTACATTAAATAGCCTATCTTAAGCTTCAGGGTCAATCACATCCATAATTTTAACTTAGTTTTATATAAACAAAAATGGGTACCATCAGGGCCGGACTTAGGACTTCAGGGGCCCTGAGCAAATTTTTCAATGGGGCCCTGGGATTTCATTTTGGGGGGCCCTCCGGGGGGATTAGGGGGTATGGAATACCCCCAAGCCAAAGGGGGGTCGGAAAAATTTTCTAAATTTAGGCTTCAAATAGGCCTAGAGCAATTTAAGGCCAAATAAGCAATAAGTTCTATATAAAAAATCGTTTTTAAAAATATTAACTAGCCTATTTTTAAATATTTTTACAGTAGGCCTATCTTTTATTTTTATGGTATAAGTTAGCCTCTGGATCACTGGTTTTTACAATAAAAGGTTTAAATTACCTGTATCCGTCAAGTGATCCTGGTTTGTAGTTAATTGACTACAGCCGTTTCATGTTGTAAAAATAGTATCTTTTAATTTTATACACAAAAAATTAAAATTTTTGAAACCTAATCTCTTGCATTCACTATTTAAACAAACTATGACCAAATGTTTCAATTGCTTTGTGTAGTACCAGTGACGGCATATTTGGTATGGTAGCATGGTAGGCTACCTACCATAATATATTTGTATTAGAATTATTGATATATTTTTGTTTATTACGTATTTAAATTATCGATTATTGCCGTTGATTTGTATGATTTTTCAATATTACTACAAAATATGTGGGATTATTTTATTTTCATAATGGTTTTGGTACCTATGGCATTCTCGTTTTTATAATATGTTAAAGTCCTAGCATGAAAAGTACCATTGAGGACTTAGTTTGAGTTTTTTATTGACGAGCAAAATCTTGCAATGTCTAATAAACACTCACAAGCTTACTATTTATATGAGTAACTGAAAGATGTTTAAATGGATCCAATATATATTAATACAACACAAACATAGCATTGAATACAACATTACTCACTTCAGCTTTGTTTTTGTACTGTTAGTTTGCAGAATTACAATAAATAACACAAAAGTAAGACAATTTCAACCAACTTGACGTGAGTAGAGTTATTATACATCGATGGACGTGACCACTAGTCTCAAAGGACAAACTATGGGAGTAAAGTGATTTAAATTGTTTTGGATAGGCGATAAGGCATTTTATGTGTGTGTATGCGCGTGCGTGAGACAGACAGGACTAGACAGGATCCCTTATCAGCTCATTATCATTTATTGTTGCAGCTGCTTCTGCTTATCGCTTGTTTACGATTTCAGTCGACAATGCTCGCCCACTCTCAATAAATGTAATTTTTTGTTAACATCAGACGACTCTAGTTGTTTTTAAAGTGTCTAGTATATAGATTTATAAAATCTTACTGGCGCTGTATGATTTTGACTCCAAAGACTAAATTGAAGATCAAAATTTTGACACATAACTAACTTAATTAATTTATATTTTACAAAACCTTTAAATTGAATGGATAATATACTTCTACCCCTTAAAATCCTGATTGGTATATACTTAGAGATAGAAAAGAAAAGAATAACATTTAATAAAACAAAAACTGAGCAATGTTTTTATTTTTTAAAGTATTTGAACTTAAAGTGAATCTCCATTTAACACAACACAATTTTAAAAGTTACGTTCTACGTTGGGACAAGAGTTTTTATATTTATTGTATTTTTGCCCCAAGCGCGCGGACCCCTTCAACTCATTCGCCGCGGCCGTACGTTCGGGAAAGCGGCTTTATTGAAACTGAAACTTGTCCGTCACAGCCTAACACATATGCTAGGGTAAACCAGGCCTAAGCGTGGGGCCCAGTGCAACTCTGAGGAAAAGTCCCTTAGGGTCAAGAATTTCGTTCCTAGTAATGCCTTAAAATGCACCTAACAATAACCTTACATATAGGATAACGAAAATAAAATTAAAGCTGTTACAAAAGAAGGCCATTTCGTAAGTGTCTGATCAATTTTCAAAGTTATTAATAAAAACTACTGTGCAAGGGGGACCCTGTCGGGGCCCCCCTTGGCCCGGGGGCCCCGGGCGCTCCCCTTCTCCGCCCATAGGTAAGTCCGGCCCTGGGTACCGTACTTTCCTGTTAAAGGGAACATTCATTATTATCGATGATTTCTTTTCGATATAGGCCTATCGATATTTTTGTTTTAGGCCTACTTCATGATCAGTATCCCTTCTGTTTTAACACAGTATCTTTAAGCGCATTTAAATTATAAATTAAGAACTAACCTTGTTTTTAGGCACAAATAATAGTCTAGGCTATAACTTATATTGGATTAGGAAATGAAACTATTCTAAACTAACCTAACATAACTAACCAAACTTGCTGTAGGCTAAGTTACCGTTTCAAAATTCCGTTTTTTAACAGAAATGGCATATGGGGAATAGGCTATCAAACAGAATTTTGAAATGTTAGGCCTACAGCAAGTTTGGTGGTTAGGTTAGTTAGAACGGTTTCATTTCAATATAATTTTTTTATTGTTTGTTGATACTGAACAATATTTATTTGTATCTTTATCTTAGTTGTCAGCTGATATGTTTCAATTTGTTACTATCAATATATCGGATAGAAAAGAAAAATATCAATACCGGTAGCCTATATCAAAAAGAAATCATCAACAATAATGAATGTTCCCTTTAACATGAAAGTACCCAAAAATGTACCTAATTAATAACAACAACTAAATAAAATAATAGGCTACCGTATGCAAAGTAATTCAACTCAATAATTAAACAATTAAACTGTGAAAAGAAAATATCTGAACACTATAAGCAACGAACTGCACTCGGGTTGGGCTACCGCATGACTACAATCGTGTAGTGTGAAAGGGGTCATATGGTAACGTGGTCCACTAGCAGTAGACACGATTATTTACTATCTTTACTTTCTTTATATGTGTAAACTAGCTGTTCAGTCATGTAAAGTATACTGTTTTATATAGCCTATCATTTTGTTTGGGAAATTATGGGCTTCAATGTAGGCTAATATATAAAACATTACAAAAAAAAATAAAAATTTCAAAAAATTTTTTGGGGTTAACATTTCTCAAAAATTATAAAATAAATGAAAAAATTTTATGTTTGCGCTCAATAAATTTTTATAATTTATAAGTCTACAAATATTTTAAAATAGCCACTTTGTTCTAAATTTTATAAGGATTACGAAAATATAATAATATAAGGAAGTAAATTTGCAAATAAATAAGTTACCGGTATGGGTGAAAAACAGATTTCATACATTTCGCGTTAGCTAAGAATGCATAGCCTAACCATAGCTAGGAATCTGGCCGATAATTTACATCAATATCACTACCTAGCCAACTTCTTCAGGATCATCAACCAGCCCTTCAAAATCACTTAGGCCTAAATCTTCTTATAACCTAATGCACCACGTATATCACTACCTACTTTTTATTTTTAACACTAAAACAATGATAAACTTAATAAAACACATCAGTCATCAGTGCGAGGTTAACCAAGTTGTTTACAAATACGCACGTCAGCTGTCTGCTACAATATTTTCGGAACTAAAATGAAAAGCATCTAGAAACAGACATCAGGAAAAAGCTTAGAATCTGCTGAAAAGAACGATACCAATCTCGATCCAGTTCAATCTGATTCAGTCAGTCCCAGAGCCTTCGCTGTATACAATGTCTGTGTGTCGCAAAAGCGACGCATAACACCACGGCGGGTGTGTTGTGTGTCGATTACGCGACGCTTAACACTCGGAAGGTTAAAAGGTGTCCGGATAAGAGGGAGTCTACTGTATATTATAATATCAATATTAAAATGTTATGTGGACACCAAACTTTTATACATTAAAAAAGTACCACCACTTTTCTCTGACCATCTCGTGTTTCAATGCAATTTGATATAGGCCTATTAGTTGCACAAATAAATCTACCTGTTTTAAAACGTTTTTATTAGCTCGCTTTCTTGTCTACAAATTTTGCAATCAATTTTATACTAACTTCCCGATGAGCTAGAGACTTGAAACTTGAAACATAGCTCACAAATGGAAGACAATGCAATATTATATCATTTAATTTTCATATTTCCCTTGGGCTACGCCCCACGGGCTTGTTTTTATTAACTCGCTTTCTTGAAAATTTTGATACTTCCCGATGATGAAAATTTTGATACTTCCCGATGAGCTAGAGACTTGAAACTTAAAACATAGCTCACAAATGGATTCAAGATTCAAGATTCAAATAGTCTTTATTCAATATATAACATATATAAAACATACATGTATCTGAATAGAGTCAAAATCTATATACAAATCATACACATTTAAACATAAATCAACGCAAATGTCCATTATGAAAAATATAAGGGAATTCAAATGAAATATTTTTTTTATCTACAAATTCTTGTAATGAATAAAAAGGATTTTTTACAAAGAATTCTTTTAAAAGTTTTTTGATTTTTTTTTTTTAATTTGTCTCCTGCCGGATGCTTATTGGTAAATATTGTAACAATTTCAATCCGGCATTGGTGGTTTTCTTTGTATAATATTCTAATTTATGCTGAGGCAATCTAATTTTTAACCTAGTATTATAGTTATGCCCGGGATTGGAGGGTGTTGTTAGTTCCCTTTGTTTCAAAAAGATTATGGTTTCAAGAATATATAAATTATACACAGTTAAAATGTCCAATTTATGAAAAAGATTCTTCACTGAGATGGTTTTCCATAATTTCATAATAGTGCAAATTGCTCTTTTTTGCTGTTTAAGTACTTTATCAAGATTTGATTTTGTTGTTCCACCATAGATTGTGATTCCGTATGAAATGTGGGATTGAACTAATGAAATAGGCTAATAAATAATTTTTAAAGTTTCCAAATCACAGACTCTGGACATCTGTCTCAGAGCATAGATACGGTGGTTGATGTGATCATCCCATGAGAGATTTTCATCAATGATAAAACCAATGACGGATAACAATGCAATATTATATCATTTAATTTTCATACTTCCCTTGGGCTACGCCCCATGGGCTTGTTTTTATTGGCTCACTTTCCTACAAATTTTGATATCAATTTTAAACAAAGTTCCCGATGAGCTAGGGACTTGAAATTTGAAACATAGCTCACAAGTGGATGACAATACAATATTATAGCATTTAATTTTCATATTTCCCTTGGGCTACGCCCCACTGGCTTCCAAATTTTTCATGTTTACATTTTGAAAGAATGTAAATATATCAATTAATTAAAGTCAGCTGTAAAATACTTAAATTTGACAGTTCAAAAAGCAGAGGTTAAGAGGTACAGGTTCTGCTCCAAAGAGATTCTTTATACAAACAAACATTTCAAAATAAAGATAAACAATCTGATTGCAGATATAAAGGTGTTTGTTAATAATGTCATTTGTCATTTATTTAGTATTCTATAAAGTAAACAATAAATTAAATAGATTGATATATTTATAGTTGGTAGGCCATGCATTCAATCTAATACATCATTATATGAAAAGAATCTGTCCTAATCTGATATAGATGCATGAAATAGATTTAACATCCACACACATTGAAAACTAAAAAGTAGAAAATAATTTATAAATAAAAAACTTTTTTAAAACTAAACGTTTATAAATGTACTAAAAAGTAGAAAATAATTTATAAATATGTGGAGAGTATAAATACTTGTAAGATTTAAAACGAAAAACGTGGGGTGCATGCAATTGATAATATAATGTTTTGCTGTAAAATACTTAATTTTTGAACAGTTGTAATTATCCCTTTGGTTAGTAATACATCATACAATCCAAATATATTTTATAAGCAATGCTCAATAGCATTCATAGAATGCATAGCATTCCTTTTCCTTTGTACTGTATTTTGTAATTTGCTACTGTACTGTAGATGATTTGTTACAAGCTTATCTTACAATCCATATTTTCGTAACACTGTTATAGCTACTTGACAGTCCATAAGACTAATGTTTAAAATATTAAAATAAGGTTTTAATGAAAAATCAATTTTCCCAGAACAGAGCCTGGTATTGATATTGTTTTTAGCATAAAACTAAGATCTTTCTAACAATTTGGAGGAAATCGTAGGAGCCGTTCTTTTAAATCATTGTGCACAAGTTTTACTGATATTATAGTATAGCCTAGATTAGTTACCAAGATGTGTCATTATTTCATTACATACAAAATCCTTTAAAACAACTGCCCAACAAACAGATAGGCCTACTTCTACAAAAACTAACTTTATTTTCTATCAGTTAGTTTTTCAACTAACCAATAACTTCTATCAGTTACCTTTTAAACTAACTAACTAATAACTTCAATCAGTTACTTTTTAAACTAACTAACTAATAACTTCTATCAGTTACTTTTTATGGGACTAACTAATAACTTCTAACTATTTTGACTAACTTTCCCAACTATGGCTACCTACCCTCCATTCTCGCTTTATTTTTATTCAAAATCTCTTATAGTATGAGGTTGTCTAGTCTCCCCATTGACATCTGACATCCTGTGATTACTATTATCAATATTAATTTTATTCTACTCTGTCACCCTACCTTGGTTTGGTTTTTCAAGGTTAAAGTCCACAATTAGTTATTTAAAAAATTATTATGAATAGTTTGGCTGTTTGATTGTTTTAATGTCCCAGCCAATAATGTTGAAGACTTTTAAGCCTATGATCATTTCTAAGAAGATAGGGAGCAATAAATTAAGTAGCATTGTAAAATTAAGTACCCTACTTATTGATATGTCCTCGTTTAGACTGATGTCTGCATCATATAATTAAATATTTTGGAAGCACAGGGAAATTTTCTTTGTGCAACAAGCTATTCAATGTAGGATATTTTTGAGATAACTGAACAAAAAGTAGAAGATAATAATAGCCTTTGATCTCTGATTAAAGTAGGTATCTTTGACCCTTTCTTGGTGCAAAAACTGTCCTTATCGCTTGACCTTCCCACTCAGCAATGATTGAAATTTTATGCCAATCTGCAATATTATGTAATAAATAATGCATTCATTGTGATAATGACCAATACAGTACAGAAAAATACCCATTGAAATAATTATGATAAATTATCAATAACCACAATTTCCCCATGAATTTTTCAAAAGAGATTAGGGTAAATACAAATCGCTATAAGTATAAATGAAGCTTTGACTATTTCATTGCAGAGTCTTAACATTCAGGAGCCTTATTTAGTCAGCCGAATCAGTAGGTCAAACTCAAGTTAATTTTATTTATTGGTAGTTCAACATGTGCTAGGATTTCCTCTTGTATTCAAATTTTGGTCACAATTAGACATAATTTTTTTCAATATACAAAGTATGATAACAAACTACTCCTGTCTATACAAAACTTCTTCATCTAAGAATCCTACTTATTAGTTTTCAACCTCCCACAACCTCTCAAATCTAAACATTGACCAAGAACCATAATCCTTCTAAGTAGTACCATCTCATGTCCTTTATTACAGTACTAAGTTAGTTACTTAGTACAGTAGGTACTGTAATAAAGGCCTTTTCTTAAAATTATAATGAATGAATTATAATAAAAATTTAAAAAAAACCCTAATTTCTAGGCCTATTTATTTCTTAATTATAAAGGATTTATGAATAAATTACATTTTCTTAGCTGTTTATTAGTTAGCATGTAAATCAGTTTTGTAAATTAACCTATGACTTTTATAATTTGGGAGACTGGGGGTTATTTATTACACATCTTTGTATCTTAAGTTACAAAGTTTACTCTAAGGTATTTTTTCAAGATTTTTGTCTTAACTAAGTTATTTTCTGTATGTTTCAGCAAGCAGAGTAACAGGGGTTGTCAAATGGTTCAATGTCAAGAGTGGTTATGGCTTCATCAACAGGTAGGCACATAAAAAAGATTTGTATAAGTGACTGATTTTCTTTCCTTGAAAATAATAATTGGAAAGTAAATGCTGACCAAGAAGTTATTTATGATAATAATAGCCTATTGAATTTTTGTTGTACATATGTAATTTAGACAATTTTAATTGAAAAATAACGCCGGAAACAAAAAGCGCCAAAATATGGACATATTTTACAAGTCAATTTATAAGTCATAAATATTAAATTCAAGCAATAACTATGTAAATTATGTACTTAACTTGGAACATAAAAGGTTTCACGGTTGGTTAAGTCTGTATTTTGTTTTTGTTGCTGAGCAATATTTTGTTGCACTCCTCGTTTTAAAATGTTGTGCTTACTAATCACTCCAAAACTTTTTGAGTGAAAATTGTTCTCTTTAAGTTTTAATGAATTTTCCATATAGGGAATAAGCTGTTACAGTAGGTCTCATGGTAAGACCTGGATCCGGGGCCGATTTACTTTTTTGTTATTTCAATGAAAGAAAAACACACATTATTGTCTTCTCTGTAGCAACAAACGCAAATACTCATTATAATTAATAATATTTAAATCCTACTAATATTATAAATGAGAAAGTTTGGATGTATGGATGTATGTTTGTGACAAGTGAACGCGAAAAATACTGGTCGGATTGGGCTGAAATTTGGCATGATGATAGCTCACATTCCCGATTAACATATAGGCATATTCTTATTTCAAAAATCCTTTCGGGCTCCGCCCCAGTGGCTCTGGAGTTTCCCATGTTAACCTTATGAGAAATGAAATTATTGAATCTTAACAGCTGTTTCAATTAAACAAGTTGGTTCTGTTCTGTGATGTTCAATAGCATTAAAGTTACAAAAATTACCAACAGGGTGCAGCACTATTATTTCTTTTACATTTATGACAACAGCTAATTTGCAACCAAAAGGTGAGTGAGCGTAGCGAACGAACTTCAACCTGGAGGCGAGTTAGCGTAGCGAACGAGCTAACCTGAAGGCAAGTGAGCGCAGCGAACGAGCTCCAACCTAAAGGTGAGTGAGCGTAGCGAACAAACTTCAACCAGGACGTGATTGAGCCATGCGAACGAGATAATCTTGAAAATTAAGAAGTTAAACGGGGCAAAGCCCGCGGGTTACAGCTAGTAGGAAATAAATCTGACAATTTTAAGGGAATAATTTTGTGGAATTCCAGCCAAGTATATGGAAATGCGCTTAGTCTGCAGGTTAGGGGTATTTTTAAACTTTGATAGGTTCCGATTTTGGTCTATGATGATACTACAATTCCTATTTATTTTTCATACACATTTGTATTTTTGCAACCTCTTACATCCTGATTCTGCAACCAGTACTAAAGTCGGGTTTCGGTGATTTTAAGATGCAATGTTGGTACAATTGTTGTGTCTCATTGTGTGCTCAGCTGTCTTCATTGTCAACAATTGTAACGAACAAGTGTGCTGCACCTGAAACCCTAAGAACAATGTGGAATAGCTGTCAGATTAGTAACTACTAACAAATGTTATAATATCTTGATTTCATTTATGGATTAAGATTCGTGAGCTTTGATTTGTATACAGCAATGGTTATATAATCTTACTTATTTCCTATAATCAATGACAAAATCACAGAGTAAATAAACTAACCTCAAAGTTCTATAGAATATTTTTTTATTCAACCAGCTGTTAGTTATAACAAATCATATTGCAATAAAACAAACTAAATATTTTAAAGACTGCTCAAAAAATAAATTAGAAAATCTAGTATTATTTTACTTTGTATATTTAAATAAACCTCCATCGTCTTACCGAATAAATGAACGTATCAATGATTATAGCATTACACATAGTATAAATAAGTAAATTCTACGTATGTCATTTCATTTTCATCCAAATGCTGAATTTGTGTCGAAAACGCTGAATGTTTACAGCTGTTGCAAATTATATTATACCAAAAGCTAGAGTAGAATGTTAGCATCGGCTGCTAGACTTTTAAAAATTTTAAACTAAATTTCTAAAAAACCTAAACCCTAAACTAAAATTATGGCTTCGACATTCCCTTGTTCTCAAAATTATCTTTCTTTTAACACAAAAATCACGAAAATCCGTCAAGTGGTTGATTCAGAATCGTGAAATAAAAAAAACCTGTCACGTTTTAATGTATAAGATAACACATAGGCCCAACATATTATTTTGTCCTAATATAGGACATCAATGCCTAATAGCTTTTCTGTAAAATATAAATTACAACTAGGTAGGCCTAGCTGATTCAAAGGATTCTTAACATTTCACTGGGGTTGCTTAAGTCATAGGACCCTCTTCAGTTATCTGTATACATAGTAGGCTACTAATTAATCACATATAATATTGATTTTGAAATGAATATGGAATAAGTTCCTTAAAAACAACATAGATTTAGTTGAAGGATGAAACACTCACATTTAACGCTAACTGTTTATATTGACTTGCATAATAAATCTAAAAAGAAACACCCTAGAGAACCATAATTGTGTTTTTTTAAATAAATAATAATATTATTTAAATAGTTAAAACCGTGTTATATAAAACATTAAAACTTTTAACCCTAGCAGTGGCCAACCGTCGTCTGGTTACGGTATGACGTTGATGCTTAGAATGGCCAAAGTCGTCTGGTTACGGTATGGGCCGAAATTTTTTTAACGGTAAAAAAAACACTTACAATCAACTCAGATTAGAATAATATATATACCATTCGAAAGATCACATTCTGAACTTTCATTTGATTACATAAACAAACCCTGTAGCAGGTATATAACAATGTCACGACGATTAGAAATCAAATGAAATTTTGGCGCGGTACGACTTTTGCAGCCGACACTTGGGAACTGGCAAAACACGTCTTGTTTGGCATTACCCTGCTCGGGTAATTTTCGTCTTGGGATGTTGCGGGTGATACCACTGGATAGCCATTGATTTTATCTTCATTGTGGTAGTGATATTTATAACTAAATATTGATTGCACAATCGGTACGATTTTATGAAAACAGCTGTTTTCGAAATTTCTAACAAATGGCCAACAGTCGTCTGGTGACAGTATGGAAAATACGAATTATATACAGTGAAAGTTATTATTACTAGTCATATAGTATATCATTTTGAAGAGGAAGAAATTTAGATTCAGAGAGTGGCAGCCCTGCACTCAGTGTTATTTCTGTATGCTCGCATGTAGACAGTGATGTAGACGACGGAAGTGAGTCATTACTGCCACAGTCTGTCAGCTGTCTTGTATTGCCATTGTTTGTTTGTGTTGTTGCCGTAATAGTTTTATCCGCGATTTATTACTAAATATGTTATTAGTTCGTAGTGTTAGTGTAAGTGAAGTGTTGTGTGTGTGTATAACAGTTATCTTCATGCATAAATATTACTGAATTGTGTGGAATAGTGTTCATAAAAGGTTGTATTTTGTTAGCATCATGTCCTAAAATGACGATTCTGACATTCAGAGATTGTTGTACCTATATAATGATATACCCAAGGTGTTATACATTTTTATAAAGGTAAATGAATACACTACAACATGTTTATAATGGTTCGGGGGTAAACAATTTTGTAAAAAAGTTATAGCCTATACTAAATAGGCCTACTACTGTAGGCTATTTTGTTAGCATCATGTCCAAAAATGACGATTCTGACATTCAGAGGGGTTATAATGATTTACCCAAGGTGTTATACATTTTTATAAAGGTAAATGAATACACTACAACATGTTTATATTGGTTTGGGTGTAAAAAATTTGGTAAAAAATTATATAGGCTACTAAATACTGTACACTCCATTTTCTCGAAATGCGCAAAAAATTCAAAACGTTCTCAAATTGATAGGCCTACATAATCATAGGTGAAAATAACTTTTTACCATCATACTTATGACTTTTTTGGATTCCTTACTTCATTGGCTTTACAAATATGTAGGCTACATATCATCAGCCTACATAATGTTTCACAACACAAGCAAACACTGTAGGCTATAGTTTACACTTATTTGCGGTTTTGCGGTTATTGTATTATTATGTCCCTATTACGTACCTACAAAAAAAATATTTCTAACATGTTATACATTTTTATGTTGGTAATTGAATACACTTCAAGATTATTATGTTGGTTTGAAGTAAAAAAATTTGGTACAAAAGTTGTATACTAAGTACTGTGAATTTTGTTTTTCGAGAAATCGCTAAAATATATAAACATTATTTTATATACGTATGTTTATAGGTAAAAAATTTTTTTTACGATAAACCTTATGACTTTTTTTGATTCCTTACTTCTTTAGCTTTACAAACATGTATATATCATTATTAGTATACACATGTATTATAGAACTTTTTACAACATAAACTAACACTGTACGGTTCTCAATTTTTTCGGTTCTCCGTTTGTCATTATATTTCGCCCCAAAAACTTATAAAAAAAAAATATTTTCCTAACATGTTATATATTTCTATGTAGGGAATTAGATTTTCTACAAAATGTATATAATGAATTTCCCATAAAGAAATCCGTAGAAAAAAAATACCAAGGCCGCTTTTGAAATTTCAAAAAAAAAAATTCAAATTTTTTTATTTTTTTCACTTTATCGATAAAATACACTGTCTAAATCATTATGATATTACTATTTCTAGATTCTCCTGTTCTTTCCGAACAAAATGAATATGAGGTTGGCTAGGTTTACTTGTACGGTTGAATTTTTACGAATTTTCAAAAAAAGGTCTGCAAAATCGCCAAAATGGGTTGGCCATTCCCCACTTCTAACATTGGCCACTGCTAGGGTTAAGACCAAACAATGTTGTATAGGTAACTTAATAGTGGCCAAGACTTGCAATAAAGGTTTGTGTATAGAGGTTTGTTATGCTCTTACCTCCAAGGTTTAAAAGGAGACACTTAATGTTCAAGTATTAAAGCGATTTTTATAATTTGCTTTGTTCCATAGTTAAGTATGTACTGTATACCTTTTTTGCATAGATTTTTATTTTTGCTTCTTATTCCTACTCAATTAATTAAAATATTGTAACCCTATGTTTAAAAGCAACCCCAAAATCTCCAAGTATTCAGTTTAAAATAATTAATTGTAAAAATGTCCATAAGTAGGCCTACAGTTGCAAGAGTGAATGTGTTCTAACTGACTTCAGGGAAAAATAACTTGTGTATTTTTTTTGGATCATCTCATTAAAGAGTGAATGTGTTCTAACTGACTTTCAGGGAAAAATAACTTGTGTATTTTTTTAGATCATCTCATTACCTTACAAAATTGTTTTTATTGGTTTAGATATGTTACTTGCATTCATTTAAAGGTTAACTGTAACTAAGGTCCTAAATTTGACTCGGTAAAGAAACATTTTAGTTTTGTATATATTTGAGAGGGTGTTAATGATCGATTCTAAAAATAGTATGATGTATAAAAAAATGAAGAGTGCAGACAGTGGGAGGGGGGAAACCCTGCAGGGTTATTGACCTAGCTGTGTCTAAGCTTAGACCAGCTGTCTGTCCCTCTCTCTTTCTGTGTGTGTGTCTGTCGCACGTGTGCAGCGTACTACCTGTCACATTGACCAAGCAACTCCTGCACGGCAACAGCATCACTGATGTTAGCAATAATCAATAACAATTAACATGAAAAAGAAATATAAATTACAAATTTAGTCTTGTCAAAAAAAGAACAAACATAGCCCTATACCTTAAAAAGACATTGTTTTTAGTGCGAATTACGATCAAACTTGGTTGGTTTGTTATTTTTTACATAAAATTGTCTTGTTTCAAACTCATTAGTCAGATTCAGAACCCATTTTGAAATAGCATGGCTCATGGCGTAATTTCTTCTTGATTGCCATTTCATGTTGCCGCTATCATACGAATATAATAAAATACATCTTCCAACATGTTAAAAAAATTTAATTTTCTGTTTGATATGTCCTAGTTGTGTTTACTAAAAACTAACGTATAGGCCTACTTAAATTTATTATAAAACACAACAAAGTTGTACAGTTTAATGTTTAGTTTTGTTCTAATTTTTTAACAATTACAGCAAAAATTTATTTTAGTTTTTGAATTACGTATGTGTAAACTTATTGTTGTCCAAGGAATAAAACCCCCTACATTCTAACCCCCCCCCCAAAAAAAAAAATCCATAAACACATACTGGGTAATAACCATATTATATTATAAACTTTTTACTATCACTTAAATCAATTGATCTCTTTTGTTACAGACATGACACCAAAGAAGACGTTTTTGTCCATCAGGTATGCTCATGAAATTTTTTAAATCACAATTAGAACATAGTAAGTCCAATAGTCTAAAGATTATTTAGAAGTTTGCATGGCCAAGGTGTATGTTATGAGGTTTGATACTTTGTTTTACCCATACTAAGCTGCAGTGTTAAATACCAAGGAATGTGCAATTCAAATCAGTATGAACTCTTGTAATAAAGTACCCAATCTGTTTTGTTAAATTATTCAGTTGTACCTTGACTTATTCAATAAGACACCCAAAAATTAAATATATGTAGACCTGATCATAATTCACTGTGCACCCAATGCTGATGTAGTTGGATTTTTTCTTCACAGTCTGCCATAATCAAGAACAACCCGAAGAAGGCCGTCCGCAGCGTGGGTGACGGGGAGATCGTAGAGTTTGACGTGGTCGCGGGTGAGAAGGGCAATGAAGCGGCCAATGTAACTGGTCCCAATGGAGAGCCGGTGAAGGGCTCACCCTACGCGGCAGACAAGCGGCGCAACTACCGGCCGCAGTGGTACTACGGCCCTAGACGCGGAGGTAGAGGAGGAGGCCCGCCCGGCCGCAGACAGCCTCGAGACAGCCAAGGGGAAGGTAAAGGTATTGTATGCCTGCACACACTTGCGTAGTTTAGTTGGTAGATAACTCATTTTTAACAAAAATATTAAAGATTGCATGTTATTATTTTGATCTTTTTCTATACAGTGAAACCTCTATTAACCACTATTATCCAGCCGGGATATAACCGTTGAGTGAATTAACAAATAATACAAATTCCTTCTTAAATGACTACTTAAATTCCTTGTTTTGAAGTAACACTGTTCATATTCATTGCACATAGTATTACTTCATTTGCGGTGTATAAATAAGCCAAAATATATACTTTGTTTATATTATCTATCTATATATTAATAGGCAAGCATGTTTCTTTAAAACCTTTTTTCTCAGCTCGTGTGCATCGCAGGGAAAATCTACACATACTGATGGAAAGATATTTTCCTGTAGATGTGCAAAATGCCTTTATAAATTAAAATAGGCTAAAAAATAAGCACAGAAAATGAATTTAAAATTTTGAAAAAATTAACATGGGTTGCCATGCTGGTGACGAAATAACAACAAAATTTAAACAGAAAATAAAAAACAAATGGAAGAAACTCCAATCACATGTATGTGTGGTGTGAAAATATAGAAGTCTGTACATTGCATATTTTTGGTCGAGTTTCGACCACTGGACAACCTCTAGTTAAAATTAATGAGCTGCGTAAATATAGTAGGCCTATATAGTAAAATTATTTATCTTAAGTGAGGATTACTAAGTCGGGACCACGAAAGTTTGCAGTTGAGGGAGAAGCCTATTTACCACGTGACTTAGCCAATGAGGACGGTGTTGTCAAATCTAATTATACCAGCTGATTTGAAAATATTTTTTAGTATTTTAATAAGTGTCGACAACGGGCGATATGGCAACGTCACACTAGCCTTGTCTTGTGATTGGCTGCCGCTAACTGTAAACTTTCGTGGTCCCGACAGTAGGTTCCACTGTATTAATGTTTTTTTTCCATTTAATAATTATTTATTCCTATGCCCTATATCGAACAAAGAATAGTGTTTGGCTTATGCAGTAGCGACCCTCCTTCTGCAGCAACCTGTGTAGTGTATGAACACTTAAATTAGCCTTGTAGCCACATAAACTTGTCATTCTGGCCTGTCTGTCTTGTTTGATACATAAAGGGCATTTACTTTGCTGCATCCCTGTTTTGGTAAATCTAAATTATACTGTAGTTAAGCAGTGTAGCATACACATTCTGTTAAAAAAAAATCATTAATTTATCATCTTTTGGTCAGGTGTTAACCTTTTGTTCGAACAAGGGTCCACAGGGGTCCGAATGAGAGGGAATCAATTTTTTCTTTATTCATTCCATTGGCTTTTTTAAGAAGTTTTCTTTTATTAGGTAATGGTCTAAATGTACATTGTAGTTTTGCAGTTCCTGTGCTAATACAGTGTAGGCTGGTACTTGTATGTCCTCAGTTATGTAACATCAGTGTCATGTTACATAAGGGAGACCAAAATATCGTCTTAAAAAACTAAGTCAAATAAATTCAAATTGTCCCTGTCAATCAATTTTTTTATCTAATTCATAATGAAAATTACTGTTAAATAAACATTGTTTATTTTAAAAAGTGTGCTTGGCTCAAAAAATATTAGGCCTAATTAAGACAGAAACTGTATGTAACAACACTTATATCACAATAAATATCAATGTTTTTAGTTGTGTTTTTTATACTTATGGTTTAGGTGGACACCATATATTAATTATAATGGATATTAATTATTATGCGTTGGTGCTTTGTGCGTCACCAAAACACTGTCTCTGAGAGCACTGCTTAAACAATATTCTTATTACTTTTGTATTACAGGCAAGCCAAATAAACAGGCCGTAATGCTCCTCTGGCATGACGTCATCATAGGCGACGGAAATGTTGTTATGTTTGCCATTTGTGATCAGCTGCTTGTTTTAATCTTTTCTTGGAAAACAAAAATATAACTAAAAAAAATAACATCATGTTATTGCTGTCGCCTATGATGACGTCATGCCAGAGAAGCATTACAGCCTGTTTATTTAGTGTTGTCATAACTCAGGCGGACGTTTCACAGAAATATAATTAAGTGAGAGATTATCATTTTTAAAATTACTTTTTCTCTCATTACTTAGGCCATTGTGTATTCTTTTCATATGGTGTAAGGAAATCACTAAAATATCCTGATACTAATAGACCTATTAACATTCTCATCTCATTATGAATAGTAAGTTTGATAATATCTGTCCAAAATGATTTATTATCAAATAAATGAAAACAATGTCATATTATTTCCTTATCTAAACTATTATTATCAGTAGCCTAGTTTAATTGCTTTATGCATGACATGTTTTTTAATCTTTTGGCTTATCAATCCTTGTTTTAGCTCCAAAGCTTATCTGCTGTTGTGTGCATGTAAACTGAACCCTTTGCTACACAATGTTGTAAATCAAACTTTTGACCTGAAAAGATTATTGTGTACAGTTTCCATTTATTTTCATATGTGATTTTAGCTGTTTATATATGTAAACAATTTTCTCAAAATAATAAAAGGGGTACTTCTAGTTTCAATTTCATAAGCAGACCAAACCTTTTTTATGTATGTAGTGTTTTACTATAGGTATAAACTAGTCTATATATGTCAATGTATTAGTGTCTTTCGGTAACAGAATATACCTGAATATTAAACTTAAATATTTTTGACCAAGGAATGTGTAAACAAGTTTTATCGTGAAGAATTAGTACTTAAGTACCTTATGGTGGTTGTGGTGTGTCGCAGGATATGACTCCCAGAAAGATGAGGAAGCCGGGACGGACGGAGATGAGAGGGGAGGTGGTCCTCCGCGTCGCTACAGGCCCCGCCGTCGCTACGGAGACTATAGCTACCGTGGAGGTCGTGGTGGGGGCCGACCCCTGACCAGCGGAGATGATGGTGAGGGTAATCAGTCATCAGGAGGTGGTGGAGATTACGAGGGAGGGGAGCCGCGCAGAGGCAGGGGGGGCGGTGCGCCACGCCGCTTTTTCCGCCGAAACTTCAGAGGGGGTCGCCCCCCCATGCGCGCCCGCAGCTCGGAGGGCCCCCAGGTGAGATAACATTATTTATTATTACATACTCACTAATATTAATAAGCCTTCTTGTGTCTGTACGTCTTGTGTAGGTGAAGTTTCTGTCTGGGGAAACAATAGCTAATCAACATACAAGTACACACTCTCATTGAAAGACAAGACTATTTAAATGTATGAAATAAAAGGTCTTATTAGACACTAATGGAGGCTTTGTAATATCTGCTAGTTTCTTTATCAACATTAGCAAAAACGAATGTTTGTTCTTTATGTATTATCAAACTATCCTTCCTATCGCTCTATTCTAAATGAAAAAAGTTTTGACACTTTAAGGAATTTTCTTTAACCTTTTTTTAGAAAAGAATTTGAAGATTTAAAGACACTGTTGGGGGCGTAATGGGTAAAAATGAAAATAATTAATAACTCGAAGGACCAGAACTAATTAATAGTTCAAGAGAAAAATAATTAAATTAGAGAAAATGGCGAATCTGCAATTTGAAGGGCACTGAGGTCCCGAGATGGAATAAAATGTCTTGTGAGGGGCAAATGAGATTAGTTTTAGAGTCTAATTAAAACACACACAAAACTTTAAGGTTGTACCTTGAGTCCAATTATCCAAAGGTGGAGAGTATGGCAGCGGCGTCGTCTATGGTGGAGCGAGGGCGGATGGCGGAGTCCTTAGACCGAGTGCTTCTGTTTTGTAGAATTTTGGAGAACGCAACGCACCCAAGTTCATAATCACAAAGAGCTCACTAATACGCGGAAGTCGCGGTGAAAACGTACGGAAAGTCTAGAAGTAATACACGGACGCGCACACACTGTCTTGAGGTTTGAAGAGTCTGAAAGCACTAGATCACAATTTAAGTAATTTAATCACAAACAAAAGGGGGAAATTAAAATGTATATATAGTTAAATGTACTATAGAGGAGAGGGAGGCCAGATATAATTAATCTATAGCCTAAAAATACGTTTAAGAGAGGTAAAATGGGCAATTAATGTCCCGAGATACGAGAAACGGAATACACCGTGAGTTATGGACGCCGAACGTGGACAGACAGACGCCGATCGCCGGCTTCACACTTTGAAAAATGCAATTGCGGTTTAGAGGGGTCTAGGAATTCGATGGCCAATAGGAAATGCGATTGAAGCAAACACGGCGTCAGGTGATTCATGGGTATGTAGTACAGGAAAATAGGCCTTACTGTGGCGGGAAATTCGAGCAGGCTTAGCAATCTCATTTGAATATTGAAAGCGGGAGTCTATTTACAATAAATTGTTACTGAGACTAAATAATATTACAATAAATGTGGTGATTTATATACACATTAGCATGATTAATTAACCAGTGACTTAATTAACATAATGATTAATTTCTAAATACTCTAAAAATATGAATACCGAACATTCCGGCCCCCTTGAAGCATTACAGCTTCAACAGACAATTAATTAAAAAACACAAGAGCAAACGTAAACCACACTTAAATCTAATATGTACATAGAGTAGGTTTCTTGGACTTAGTCTTCATTGCATGGCAGAGGGAAGACCTTGTGAACAGGCCGTGTGAAAGTCCCAGAAGCTGTCTTCACTGTGACGACTCGAACTGTTCCATCAGCGCCAGGGTGAGTGGAGACGATGCGTCCAAGAGGCCAGGTGAGTGGAGGTGAATTGGAGTGAATGAGCACCAAGTCTCCGGTCTTCAAATTCTCATGAGGGGTGGTCCACTTGGATCGCTGCTGGAGGGAGTGGAGATATTCAAGCTGCCAACGCCTCCAGATACGCTGGTGAAAAGCCTGGACAAGCTGCCACTGACGAAGACGATTGAAGGGCACTTCAGACAGGTGAGGTTCCGGCAGGGCAACTAATGGAGCTCCGATGAGGAAATGTCCAGGGGTCAGCACAGAAATTTCGGAAGGGTCTGAACTAAGAGCTGTAAGAGGGCGCGAGTTTAGCATTGCCTCTACTTGAATGGACAAAGTTTGAAATTGGGTTAAAGTTAAAATGGTTTCACCAATTACCCGTTTCAGATGGTATTTTGCACTTTTAACGGCACTTTCCCATAAGCCACCTTGATGAGGTGCAGAGGGGGGGTTGAAATGGAAGTTAATTCCTTTGGGGGTGGTGAAATGAACAATTTTGTCCTGCGAATCAGGTGTAAGGATGGTTTCACGGATTACCTTGCGTAATTCCGAGTTTGCACCAACAAAGTTGGTTCCGCAGTCAGAATACAGATCGGAACAGAGTCCGCGTCTCGACACAAAACGTGTGAGAGCGGCAATGAAGCCTGAGGTGGTAAGATCGGTGACTACCTCTATATGAATAGCTTTGGTAGCCATGCAGATAAAAATACACAAATAGACCTTAATCTGTCTAAGAGCTTTGAGACTGCAAACGCGAACACTAAATGGTCCGGCGTAATCTACGCCTGTAGATGAGAATGGACGAGTAGGATTGACCCGATGAGCAGGTAAATCACCCATTAGAGGGATTTTGTTTCGTGGTTTATTTTTAAAGCACACAAGACACTTAAATATGCGCGAGCGGATAACGCTCCTGGCCGATAGAATCCACACTTTTCGGGCGAGTAGTGATTGAGTTAGTTGCGGACCTGAGTGCAAGTGTACCTGGTGGTAAAAGTCTATAAGCAAATTCACTACAGTATGAGACTTGGGTAGAACAATAGGGTGACGTATGTCATGAGCAAGCGAACAATGTGACAATCGGCCACCGACGCGTATGAGACCATTAGGGTCGAGGAAGGGGGTGAGTTTCTGTAATTGTGCAGAACATATTGAGCCTTTGTTCAATAATTTAATATCCGCACTGAAATGGAGTTTTTGCACTAGTTTAAAAATTGTCACTTCCGCTAGATTTAATTCACTGAGTTTTAAGTGTCCAGAGAGTTTGTTTTTAGACCTGGAATAGTTTATGAATCGTAGTACATAAGCTAGCACACGGGTTAGTTTCAACCAAGATGAATATTTAGACAATAAGTCCCATTCCGAAGGGGCGACTGTTGCACTAAGTACACTAAGAGGAGTTTCTTTAATTTCGTCCGTGGGAGTGAGTTCAGACGGCGAAAAACATGAGGGGGGCCAGTTGGCCGCAGGGAGCTGTAACCATGGTGGGCCAGTCCACCATAAGGGATGGTCAATGAGAGATGAGGCTAGAATTCCTCGTGAGGCACAATCAGCGGGGTTTTCCGTCCCTTTTATGTGCCGCCACTGATAACTGGGAATGATTTCTTGCACTTGGGCTACACGATTAGCCACAAAGGTCTTTAGTCTGTATGGAGGGGTTTGTAGCCAAGTAAGAACTACAGATGAGTCACTCCACAATACAGTGGTATTCGTAGTAAGAGAGTTAAATTGTTTTTCACAATAATGCACTAGTTTTGATAAGAGGTGAGCTGCACACAATTCCAAGCGGGGTAAAGTTACCTTTTTTAACGGGGCAACACGAGTCTTAGACAATATTTGTTTCACAATGACTGTTTTGTCACTAGATTCACACCGGAAATACACTACCGCGGCATAACCGCATTCCGATGCATCACAGAAACCGTGAAGCTCGATATCAGAGGAGTGAGCGAGCGGAAATGCTCGGGGGATCTTAATTTGACCGAGGTGGTCTTTAGTGTTACTAGTGAACACATGCCACTTATGTGCGAGATCAGAAGGGAGAGGGTCGTCCCAATCAAGACCTTGAGTCCATAGTAATTGCATGAAGCATTTTGCTACCATGATTAATGGGGACAAAAATCCACAGGGGTCATATAGTTTGGCAATAAAGCTGAGCACGGAGCGCTTAGTCAGCTTTTCAGACGGGGGGTTGAAAGCGTAACAGAAACAGTCTTCTTCAGGAGACCAATGGAGACCTAGGATGGAGTACTGGGGAAGCTGAGCGTCTTGCAGGAAACTTGGAGTCTCTAGATGTTCCGAAGGAAATTTTTCTAGAAGAGCAGAGGAGTTGGAGGCCCACTTGCGAAGTTCAAAGCCACCACGATGTAGAAGTTGGATAAGTTGGTCCTGTAGTTCAAGAGCAGCCTCAACGGAGTCAGCACCCGTGATAATGTCGTCCACGTAGGTGTGATGACGTAGAGAGTGAGAAGCCTGAGGGAAGGCATCACCTTCGTCTTCCGCTAACTGCATTAAAGTTTTAATAGCAAGGTAGGGGGAGCTGTTCATGCCGTAGGTGACGGTAGTAAGTTGAAACGTAGAGATTTCCTTTGAAGGGTCGTCACGCCACAGAATCAGTTGAAACTTTTGATCGTCAGGGTGCACTTGTATTTGGCGGTACATTTGCCGAATGTCACATGAAAACACAATTTTATGAGAGCGGAAGTTCAAAATTACGTCACAAATGTCAGTTTGTAATTCACGTCCTGTCAAAAGAATATCGTTTAAGGAGTGACCGGAACTGGTTTTGCTACTGGCGTCAAACACTGTCCTTAAATTGGTCGTGCTAGAGTCCTTCAGTACCCCATGATGAGGTAGGAAGTAGTGTGGGTGTATGTCTTCAACAAAATCTAGTTTTGTCATATGGCCGAGAGTTTGATATTCAGACATGAACGTCTTATACAAGTGTGAAAAATGGGGTTGAGCTTTAAATTTCTGCTCAATAGACAACAAGCGCTTTTCAGCAATGGGCCTAGATTGGCCTAGAATGGAGGGGTCCGTCTTGAACGGAAGTCGCACAACATAACGACCTGATTGATCACGAGAGTGTGATTTTTTATAGTATTCATCACAAAGAAGCTCTTCCTGTGACTTAACCTGGAAGTGAGGGGGTTCCTCCTGTTGCCAAAAACGTTGCAGGGAAGAGTGTAGTGAATTATCACTAACAGAGAGAAGAGAGATCGCAAAACCTGACACGGGTTCCGAGTTAGTTGCACAGGGAGCTTTACCCATCAGAATAAAGCCAAGATGAGTACCTATCACATGAGGCATGTGCGTGCCGAGGGAGTAACTTTCATGAGTCCAGAGGAGGGGTAGCAGAGAACTACCTATAAGCACGTCAATGCCACCAGGCAAGTGAAAAGTAGGATCAGCTAGAATATAGGGCTTGATTTTTGTTAGCACTTCCGGTGATATAGGGGAGCGAGGTAAGTCGACGGAAATCTTATCAAGAATATGGAATTGATGGTCAGTGGCTATTACTCGACCTGAGAGAGTTTCAAGATTCAAGTAAGTTGACCCTTTAGTACAGGAAGCCATTTGAGAAAGACCAGATATTTTGAGTTGAGAAGACTGGCGTTTTATATTCAGGAGATTCGCAGCGCGTTCTGAGAGCAGATCACACATACTGCCAGTATCTAGTAGAGCACGAAACACATGAGAGATACCCTGAGGGGAAGTCAACTTGACCAAGGCGGTGCCGAGTAATACAGTATAATTACCCGAAGTCGTACATGAGTTATTTTGGGCAGAATAATTGCTTACATCCGCGACAGTGGCGGAGATAGAGGCTTGTGAATTAACATCACCAGTCTGAGTGTGAGATGGACCTGAAGTGGTCGGGGAAGTTCTTTGACCTTGAGGTCGAAAAGACATCTGAGAGGTTTGATTATTATCACCAAGGTGTAAGAGAGAGTGGTGTCGCTGTTTACATGTGCGACAAGTGAACTGAGAGCGGCATTCTTTGGAGCTATGTTCACCCAAGCAAGAAAAACAACGATTATGTTTTTTAACAATGGCGTGTCGCTCTCGAGGAGATTTATTTTGAAATACGTCACAAGTGTAAACTTTGTGATCATTTTTGTTACAAACAAAACATTTGTTATAGACAGGACTATTTTTAGTCTGAGAGCTATGAGAGGGGGGAGCATTAGATCTCGAAGTAGCTACCATGGCTAGGCCTACGTCAGACCGGAAATGCACCTTTTTTGGTATGGTTTTGTGAGGTGAAGGTTGAACGCTTCTGTGGGCCGATGACATGTTATGTATGTTAGCATCTTCTGTCTGCGAACATTCTTGGTTAAGAAATTTTATTATTTCACCAATTTCTGGTAATGAATGAGTAACTGGATCTTCGGTTTGACTGGAACGGAACGATTCAAGTTTTTTACGTAGTTCCTGGTCCATTTTACGCAAAAGGAGTGCGGACAATAGGGGGTTGTTGTCACTAACGTCACAATTTAATGCCTTAAGAGCTTGTGTGTGTTCCGTAAACAGGTTTACAAATTGGCGCAAACCTTTGAGTGAAGTTGCCGTAATGTTTGGCAGGTCCAACAATTGGTTAAGATGCAATGATTGCAATCTTCGATTGTTGTGATATCTGTCACGTAACAATTCATAGGCGACTAGATAATTAGGAGCGGTGAGATTTAAACTCCTTATTAAATTGAGAGGCTCTCCATTTAAGACAGAGAGTAAGTACTGGAATTTCATAACAGAGGATAATGAAGCATTACGGTGGATTGCAGTGTCAAAAAGATTGATAAAACTTGTCCACGTTAATGGATCGCCAGAGAATTTTTGTAAGTCCAGTTTAGGTAATCGTACTTGTGAGCTTGGATGAGTTTCTGAAACAGAAAACGATTCACTGAACGCGGAAGGGGTTTTTGGTGGTTCTGAGGGAACCAGAGTTTCAATCGTAGCTTGAATGTGAGAGAACATGTCTTCAATAGCATCTTGATCATTGGAAAGAGTCTTATCATCGATCCCTTCATCTTCCAGAACGAAGGCACGTTGAAGGTTATTTTCAAATTCACTGCGTTTCTTTTTTATTTCCAACGCGTAAGCGGATAATTTCTTAAGTTGTAATGGTGTTAGAGGGTCGATTTGAGTTGATAATTCATCTACTGTAGCCTTAAGTTTTTCAAAACGTGATTTAATCAGCGCCGTAGAACGGGTGTAGATTGCGGACTTAAAATCAGATGCTTTAGGAGGCATTGTGAAGTGTTCACTTGAAAGTATTCACACGAAAATGGAAGTTATGGGTACACAAAAGGCTTGTAGCTAGGCCTATGAATGGTATTAGCTTAACAATGTAGTAATTAATTGTCCGCTGAATAATATAGAGATAAAATATTATAAATATCTAAAACATATATCCACCTACTTTGTAGCTTAATTGAGGCAAATAGTGAAAAACACTAAGTTATCAACACGTTAAATAGCAATAAAATATTTTTAAATGAGTGTGGCAGGTTTAATTCGATTTTCAAACTATAAATCAACAATTGAGCTTAGTTGAAAGTATTCAAGTACGGTAATAATAATGCACAATAAAACAAGAGATATGATAGAACAAATGAATGAGTCACATGAAAGTTCACCGTTATTTACAAAAATAATAAATGGATCTAAATAAGTTTAATGAGAGTAGGCCTCATTAATGAAACAGTGTAGAATAATCCTTAGTAAACAAGAATTGCAACATAAAGAGTAAGTTATTACCCTAATAAATGAGAAAGGAACATAAAATTATAACCATCAATGAAATATGAATCACAATACAAATACGCTAGCTAACAGTTTTGTTTATATGTACAACACTAGTAATAAGAACCAGTAAAAACGGTTATTTTGAACTATTTATTAAAATGTTAATTGACAAGATAAAATTACCTTAAATATAATATCGCACGTTTGTCAACCAAAATTACAGAGATGAACTAATTTAACTTTACTTCATTTAAAATCAAAATTCAGAAAGCATAAACAATGTTAAATAACAATGACAAATTATTGTTTATTTAGTATGATATTCAAAAGAGCAATATTGATTCAAAGAATAATAGTAAATACCTAATAATAACCTAATAGTTGGTTATTAATAATATCAATCAACCTTATTACACAATACACCTTAAATGAGAAAATGTAAACAACAACAAACGCTGTACAGTGAGTGACAGTTGAGATATGCGTCTGCTACTAGTGTCGGCCGTCTACACGCGACTAAATCCCGCAACTAAAACTAAATCCCGTTTTCGGGATAAAAAAGCCAAGTAGGGAAAAATTGTCTACTACTAGAGAGAACAGCAAATTGTACATGATTATGATTGTGACCTGCGCAGACGCGCGAGTGGAGAGAGATTGCTAAACCACGCCCACGAACGGAACGAACGCGAGCCGATATTTTACCAATATGGCGAAAATTGAAAATTGCAGATCGCTAAAAATATGGTTGATGATGAAAATTGGCTGAAATTAATTACCACAGGACTTTAGACAATGAATCCGGCTCGAAGGACCAAATGTTGGGGGCGTAATGGGTAAAAATGAAAATAATTAATAACTCGAAGGACCAGAACTAATTAATAGTTCAAGAGAAAAATAATTAAATTAGAGAAAATGGCGAATCTGCAATTTGAAGGGCACTGAGGTCCCGAGATGGAATAAAATGTCTTGTGAGGGGCAAATGAGATTAGTTTTAGAGTCTAATTAAAACACACACAAAACTTTAAGGTTGTACCTTGAGTCCAATTATCCAAAGGTGGAGAGTATGGCAGCGGCGTCGTCTATGGTGGAGCGAGGGCGGATGGCGGAGTCCTTAGACCGAGTGCTTCTGTTTTGTAGAATTTTGGAGAACGCAACGCACCCAAGTTCATAATCACAAAGAGCTCACTAATACGCGGAAGTCGCGGTGAAAACGTACGGAAAGTCTAGAAGTAATACACGGACGCGCACACACTGTCTTGAGGTTTGAAGAGTCTGAAAGCACTAGATCACAATTTAAGTAATTTAATCACAAACAAAAGGGGGAAATTAAAATGTATATATAGTTAAATGTACTATAGAGGAGAGGGAGGCCAGATATAATTAATCTATAGCCTAAAAATACGTTTAAGAGAGGTAAAATGGGCAATTAATGTCCCGAGATACGAGAAACGGAATACACCGTGAGTTATGGACGCCGACCGTGGACAGACAGACGCCGATCGCCGGCTTCACACTTTGAAAAATGCAATTGCGGTTTAGAGGGGTCTAGGAATTCGATGGCCAATAGGAAATGCGATTGAAGCAAACACGGCGTCAGGTGATTCATGGGTATGTAGTACAGGAAAATAGGCCTTACTGTGGCGGGAAATTCGAGCAGGCTTAGCAATCTCATTTGAATATTGAAAGCGGGAGTCTATTTACAATAAATTGTTACTGAGACTAAATAATATTACAATAAATGTGGTGATTTATATACACATTAGCATGATTAATTAACCAGTGACTTAATTAACATAATGATTAATTTCTAAATACTCTAAAAATATGAATACCGAACAGACACACAACTCACCAGGCATGAATAGAAAGTTAACTGTTCTTTAGTTAATGTGTACTTTTGTTTTGAAAGGTTTAATAACTGAAATTAAAACAAATTTGTTTAGCATTTGGATTTGCATATTTAATCATTGAATGTTAATCTGTTGTTTGTTGCAGAACACCAGTGAGGGGGAGGGGGACGGAAGAAAGGAGAGTAATGGGGGAAGGGCTGGCCGTCCCCGTTACAACCGCAGGCGGGGGGCTAGAGGAGCTCGAAACAGCACACGTGAGAGCGAGTCCAAGTCTGGCAAGCCAGAGCCAGCGACAGACGCACCCGCTGCTGAAGCTACCCAAGCAGTGCAAAACACTGTCTCTGAGAGCACTGCTTAAACAATATTTTTATTACTTTTGTTTCAATTTTAACATCCAGTTTTTGTGTTAGTGCATTGAACTATTTATATTTATACATTCATGGTTGAGTTTGGTTTTGTCGGGGGACAAACTTTAGTTAGTGTTCTCCCTGAGATTGTCTTGTAGTCACCTGGTATCTCATTTCTCCAGACCTCACCACAATGAGAATGCGTCGCTTTAAGTATATTGTTTTGAGATCTTGCCTCGAAGAATGTTATTTATTTTGATGAATGATCGAAGTTTTAACAATTATTTTTTTATATATTTGTTAGTGTTTTTATTGATTTTTTTAAAATTGAGACTCTAAGAAATGAGATTTTCCCGGGTTATTTGAGTAAGACCATAAAATCAGTGTTTTAATAACCTAGTCGGTCCGACGTAAGTGCACAGCAAAGACACCAACATAACTTGAAAGTATAGATCGGAACGTTTGCTGGGCGCTTGCTCGAGTGTCATGTACCAGATCCGCTTGTCATCAATGCAGGTGTTTGTGGAAAGCAACAGCGTCGCGTGAAACGAAAGAATATTCACGGGTGGCTCTAGCGGGAACCACATCGTAGTTTGGTCACCATCAGGATGTGGACTTCCAACAACATTAACATCACATATATAATGATATCAAAACAGCATTATTAACAACTCTAACAGCCGGTAACAACGGCCGGCAAGAAACATCAAATTTGTAAGACTTGGTGTAAACCGTCATCATATGTCATTACACCTTGTCAAGCCAGAAACTGTTACTGCCAATTAGTAATATTGACAACTTTAAAAGTTATAACATCAAATGTGTCAAATTGTCATTGACGAATTTAAATTATACATTGTACAAAAATGTCTAAAAGAATTTTTTCACGAAACATTTGCATTTTGAATAAACAAGCCAAAAAAATTGACATCAGTGTTTTATTAAAACCTATATTAGAACCCCACAAGATCTTCAATGCAGTCTCACAGTTCCAAAGGTGGACGGACAGCCCTTGTAAAATAACACCATGGCTCTTTAGAGTTCTGAGTAGGATGTTGAATGTTTAGTGTAGACTGTCCCATTCCTATGTTTCTAAAACTGCTAAAGGACTTAGAAAACCCATTTTAATTTTTGTTGTCATTTTATGATAAGTATATAATTTATATTTACATTTATATAACACTTTCTCTAGATTGTGTGTTTAAATTTGATTTTGAAATCCAAAATGAATTTGGATTTTAAACTGATTAGCAGTCGAACCTAAAACAGTGTAGTGTATAACAAAAGATGTAGAATTTACAAAAAAATCATGCCCCCCTGATTAAGTTAAGACATTCAATATAGAAATGTGGATATACGAGCTAATCAATTCTTGTAAAGGGCAACTGAAACTCTACCTTCAGTCCCACTTTCCCTTTGAATTTCGCTGACCTGCCTTTTATTGCGAACCCATCTTAATATACCCCATGCCACCTACCTCAGTACCACCAGAGGTTAAGAAATTATTCCTGCTAAAAAATAATTTCAAGATGTTTGCCCTTGGCCCAGGGAAGTTGATTTGGACAGCAATTCATTCTCTTTTAATTTTGTAACTAAAGAAGTGGGCAGTTTGCAATGGTGAAAGCAGGGACTTGGTATTCTTTGGGTGGGCTTCAAGATGATGTGTCAGATGCAAACATCTTCCCTTAGTCTCTAAACGTTTTCAAAGTCATTAACTATTCTCATGACCCTGCCCACCTTAGGTCTTTTTCTACACTGTTCAGCCAAACAAGATTTTAACTACTGAGAAGACAGTGATTATGTTACGGTTTTCAGTACTTACAGTTGGCTCTTAGAGAACTTTCCGATGTATTATAATGTACAATACCGTCAGGGACAACTCTCTATAAAAGTATTTAAAGTTTGTGGGATGGAAAAAGGTTGGAAAAACAACAATGACCCTAGTTTTAACTCATATTGGAAGCCTTTTCTTTACTATAAATTTTGATCTGCTTAAACTATGCTAGAATTAATAATAGACACACTATATTCAGTTTGACTGGACTACTCAATTCCCGTATTTAAAATCAGAAAATAACATTGCAAATACTTTTTGACAACTCAGTGACTCCCTATAATATGTGTTGTTTAAAATTCAATTTAACCCTAGATCTGGCGGTCATTTTATTTCCCAGTGGCGGGTATATTTTGGCGCTTTTGTAGTGGTATCATATATTTTGCCACAGAACATTTATTTGTGAATATAAGTACACACATATATATATTTTCTATTTCAGTGATGAATTTAGAATATAATAATAAAAAAATATTCTTTTCCTAGCAATGCGTTTAGGCGTAGTAGCAAAAGGTTTGCAAATTTTTGGATTATGCAAATTAGAAATTTCAAAAGCAACCCACAAGATAATTTTTTACACATTTTATCTAAATGTAAAGTTTGTGTGAAATATGATTCCCTAAGTAGAAATATCAATGCTTTTTAAATACTCATAAAAATAAAATTATAAAAAAATAAATTCTTCATACGTATTTTCTTTTTTGAAAAACTACCAAATTTCTTTTTGTCACGTAGGAAATTATAGAATGCATCAACAAAAAATGAAACGATACTGTACAATAGGTAATAAATAGATCTTTCTGAAAATATATAGTTATATTTAGTTGAATTCTAAAATGTCTGAGAAATTTACGTCGGAATGTAAAATTTTGAAGAATTTTTAACAAAAACATAATATTTATGACATTTTTAAAAACAAAATAAAATTTTTACAATCAACCTTATAGATTCACAGGTAATTGTAGGGAATTTATTGTAGTTTCAGAATATGTACTAATATTGTATACAATTTAATTGACAATCACCAAAAACAGCTGTTTTTGTAGTCAGGTGACCAAAACTTTCCACCGCCAAAATCTATTTTGAAATCTCTAGTTTTTCAAACTACCGTTTCTCAGTACATAATACTCACTCAATAATGTTTTATGCATGAAAATGAATCCTCAGAATCTCATCTTTCTAATGGTATAAGATTTATTGCGTTTTAAAACTGTTTTCATATTTTAATAATAGAAAAACCCGACCCATCTCATCTTGGTCTATAATCGACCAGCGCCACTGAGAACTCACGTTTTAGTGGTCTAAAATCGACCAGCGCCAGATAGAGGGTTAAATATTAACAGCTGTTTCATTAAAAAGTAGTGAAAAATTATCCTTATGACGAAAATATAAACAAATCTGGGAAGGGAACTTTAAAGGCTTCTGGGGCAGAGCCCTAAGGGAATTTACTTAGTTTTACTTTTGATGGCTTATCTACAGACCGATACCTTTCTTTTGACACCTTTACCAAGTTTCTATTCTACGCCCAGCTGTTCTCTCAAATTAGTGGAGACAAAGTTTCCAATAAAATATTTAGATTCCTCATGTTAATCTTATGGGAGAAAACCCAACTTGAATGGAAGATCCTGTCCAAACTAATAAAAGATTTCAAAAAATTAAAAACACTGCAGAACTACAGATCAGGGTATTTTTTGTATACTTTAATCGTCAAAATCGGTCCAAAAATGAGGGTAGTATTGCAGTAAATAGCATTGCAAATACTTCTTTTGGACAATTCAATAACTCCCAATAAATGTGTGTTGTTTAAAACACAATTGAAAAATCAACAGCTGTTTCATTAAAAAGTATTATCCACATGGCCAAAATGTAAACAAATTTGTCGAGGGATCTTTAAAGGCTTCTGGGGCAGAGCCCTAAGGGAATTTACTTCGTGTTTCTTTTGATAACTCATCTACAGACCAAGGCCATTCTTTGGAGACCTCTACCAAGTTTCTACGTCCAGCCGTTATCTCAAATCAGTGGAGACAAAGTTTCCAATTAAATATTTACATTTCCCCATGTTAATCTTATGGGAGAAAACCCAACTTTGATGGAAGATTCTGCCCAAACTAATAAAGACTTCAAAAAACCAAAAACACTTTGCAAAACTACAGATCAGGGCCATTTTTTTGACACTTTAATCGTCAAAATCGGTCCAAAAATGAGGGAGGAGTTCTGTTTACAAAAATCGGCTTAGCGTATTATATATAGAATAGATGTTGATTGTAATCATTCTATAGATTTAACTCTTTATTACTTGAATTGTGTTAAATAAAGCCTACTCATTCTGATTCAAGGCAAACAATCTTTATTCGTCAACAAGACAAAAATGTTACAAGATTGTGATTGGGGACATAGCTTTAAAGCATTGTAAAATATAAGTTTTGTTGAATTTATATCTTATTTATATATATGTGAGGGAATTCTAAAGGGCTTCTACACAAGAAAAACATTTTAATCACTCGCAATTACCTGTACAAATAAAAAATCAACTTGTGAATGTGTTTTGTCTGAATTTCAATTGTTCAGGTTGTAGAAACACATAATACTCACATTATTTTGGCTTACTTGTTGGATAAAGGAAAACTAAAATAAAATGAGACATTTTATTATAAAATTTACTGTTATTGAACTGATATATAAAAAAAATGCATTTTCTTCATGAACTTCAAGTTAATCCATCATGTCAAAATCATCCCTCTGAAACAATGGTGTTAATGATTATCAAAAAGTTTAAAGTATTAAAGTTAAACCTACTAAAATTAAACAACACATACTGTACTCACAGTAAGTTAACTGTAGAATTAGGCCCAAACTATCACAAACCTAAATAAATACTGATAGTAAGTGAATTTCCAGTTGTTCCTAAATTTGTATTCTAAGAGATTCAAAATGAATCTTAAGGATTTAACATGAAGCAGTTTCTTCTTTTAAATGTTACCTTAAGGGGTCCAATTGAAAAATCCATGTATTTAACAAAATGAAAATGTTTCTTAAGAGTCCTTGGAGGCTAGCGGCCATCTTGGATGATTTCAAATAGCTGTGAAGAGTTATTCACGGTCCAAAAATATTTTTTTCAAACACCAAAGTGATTATAATTGAAATCTATTATACTGTGAGATTAGAAATTTTCTTTGTCGTTTTTAATTGTTCTCCAAGGGAGTCCATGGAAGCTAACGACCATCTCGGATCTGCCCGCCATAAGAGCAATGTTAATTTCGTTAATTTCAAACAGTTGCTGAAGTGTTATTTACCATCTAAAAATTTTTTTTCTAACTCCAGAGTGATTGTAATTTAAATATCTAGTATACTGTGAGATTAGAAATGTCTTTCTTAGGGCCGCTTTCCCCAAATCAAGTTTAACTTAATCTCGGTTAACTTTAATCGGCGGGTTAAACTTAGGATGGCTTTCCCCACTATTTTGTCATGAAAGTTTAGTTTAACCTAGCTTTTCTTTGCAAGCAACAATGTTGGCAACACTGTTATGCAATTTTGTCTGCAATATTAGTTGTTTAACTCCCCACTATGACATATCTGTCATTAATTTTCTCGTGTTTTGGTTATTTGTATTAAATTTTGTGTCATTGTCTCCAATTGTTGACATAAAAACGAAACATTTTTATTTGCAGGGTGATAAATTGTACTGATGCTAATTTATAAGCATTTCATTTCTTGTGTTTATTTAAGCTCAAACTTAATTAAACAGTAGGCCTACTGACGCATCAAATAAAAGCATTAATTACATTATGGGAAAATAAAATGTTGGGAAAGACGCAAAATTAATGTTTGTGGATTAAAAACTAGAGCCTATCCTTTGTAATGGCAGGCCTAGGCTACTCAGCATTAGACACGTTCGATGTTTCTAAACTAAATTTAATTTTAGGCGTACTACAGTAGTTGTTAATTTACACATGATAATAATAGACTAGTCGTTAGGCCCGAATGTTTAATATTTACTTTTGTGTAATGTAAGACTCGTGTTAAAATAAAATCAAACCAAAAGGCTTCTTATGAGCAAACTTTCCAACCACTGTTGCGTTGCTGTGGACAAGGTAACCTATCACAACTACGATACTACCTACCGAAAATATAATAATTTAGGCCTACTCTACGCATTTAAAAACCTTAAAACCATTACTGTATATCTATAGCCTTATATCTTTAAATTTGAAATAGTCATGAATTGTCTACATAGGTTCTGGTTTACTATTTCTTAATTTATTTCCAGTTCAATTTATTTTAGGTTATGTTTAACAAATGTCAAACAAACAAGGATATTTGCCATTGCCGTCTGCCGAACGTAACAAGTCAGCCAAGAGCCAATCAAAATCAAGCTTCTCTCCTGGGTTAACCCACGGATCGCCAGTTAAACCATCCTCACCCCTAGGGTTAACTTAAACCTAGTTTAAACGGAGAAATTATTTTGGGGAAAGTGAATTTGAGGTTAAACTAGCTAGAGTTTAAACCGTGATCAGAGTTAAACTTGATTTGGGGAAAGCGGCCCTTAGAATGTCTAGGCTCCAAGGACTCTTAATAGTCAAGTTAAACATTTTCTCAATATAAATATAAAACAACCGTCCGTGAAAAAAAAATGCGATCAGTGATTAAGATTGTGTGATGCAGCATTTTTTTTCGAAACGGTATGATTTTCTTTCAAAATTATTTACAACTAACTTGAGCTATTGTAATGGATCATTAACCTAAAAAAATAAAGTAAAGAATGTACTAAATACAATTTTGTGTGAACAAGAGGTTAGTTGCTGACCTAACCTGCTGACGGACACTGCTGATTTTGTGGCTGGTCTAAGAAAACTAGATCGGTTTTTCCGATGCATATAGACTAAATTACTGCGTTGAATCAAATTGAAAATTCAATGCATTTACGATGATATGTACACCAATACTAGTGGTTAAATATTCTAAATTTTCTGTGTAGGGTAAACATTTGTGATTATTTTTTAAGGTTAGCCTAAAAAAATCATAAAGATATAAAATTGATAGGTAGAGTAAAAAAATTCAAACTCGGCAAAATATTAGTTTGAGAAAAATAATTAATAGCAAATTGTTTTGACGGATTTTAGAATATATGCACTTGAAGACACAAATTTTATAAACTTTGGAAAAGATGCCACAAGGACTAATTTCATTTGCATATACCTGACTGTTTACGTCCAAACATACATCAAGACTCATGCCTCTAGCTCAAATCCTACAAGAGATTTGTAAAAAAGGAAAGGTCTTAGAGTGATAAGTTACACAGTTTGAAGAAAAAATTCATATTCAAGTTATGATCTGGTTGATATCTGAAAATAAAATTATCTACCTGTTCATAGGATAAGCTATATACTCCGTTCACAAAATATAGGCGGATTGAGGGTAAGTGATTCCATCCCCTCCACCTCACCGTAACATTGAAACAACAGTAGACAGCTGATTAGCTGATATCATTAAGCTAAAAGTGGTGGGAGAACTCGGGAAACCTTACCCTTAAACTACCTAAATTTACTGCATTCCGGTACAAAGACTTAAAACACACTCAAAGTAAGCTAAAGAAGGGACATCACTAATAAACGATAATATTTCTATAACCATAAGAACAACTTGAACTTACCATCTCATTGTATTCCATGATGTGTTTCTTGATAGCTGAAGTATCAACCCACGTGACAAAGTCTTCTAGATTTCTGCAAAAAAGATTTTTTAATCAGTCATAAACACTGTTGGTTCTTGTAATATAGTTGATCACCTACGTCAATTAAGACCAGGGCTACCAACATTTAACAAGCAACAGTTAGGAGATCCAAGCCTCCACACTTTTTAGAACTAGTAGAAGGTGAATGAGAACTAAAAACCATCTTACACTTGCATGCCTAAAGCTGTCGCATTGACAATTAGTGGTATTGCATCTTTGATAATGTGTCATAAATAAAGTGTCTTGAAATGCTTAGCAGTAAAGAAATTACAAATACAAAAGACGATAAAAGGACGCGTTGCAGAAAGTCAACAGTCCCGGAAGGTCAAATAATTTATACCTGTGCCGCTAGGTCAAAAACTACAATGTTTGCAGTGTCTGTAGATCAAAAATCCCAGTAAGTCAAATAGTACAGTCCGAGCTAAAAACGTGGTCTATGTTAAAGCAATTGACTTATTGGGAATTTGACCTAATGCAACAGCAGTTTTAATATAACGAAATAAGATAAAATACAAGTTCAGTTTCGCTGAGTCAACAGTGCCGGAAGGTCAAAAGTATAATCTGTTAAAAACAACGATAGTCCTCTCGACGCATGACTTTAATAATTTCGTGTTTTGGTGTACTTAAAGTTGTGCTAAAATTTTGAAAATTGGCACAGAGCTTCTTGGTAAGTCCTACTCGATGACTATTTTGTTGGAACTTTAAACTATTTACCAATCTAATTAATAAAAATTGATATGTATGGTGAAATAGTTTTAAATCGTGATTTATAACATGAAAAAGTTAGCATGCGAGATTATAACTTGGGTTGAAGAGGACGGCAAATTTAGCATTTCGCAACGCATGGAAAGAACTACATCGTACGATGCGACTGCTGAGTGGACTTTTAATTTACAGTTCTAAGAACAAGAAAAAGATGAATATACAGATCACCAGTACATTCATATTATTTATAAAACCTCTTTCTGTATTACCAGCTTACATTTTTCACTTATAAGAATACCTACATCATAAGCAGGGTGTTAAAAATAAGCGGGGAGATACTTTACCTAGTAATTCCTTGGGCCAAAATAAACAGAAAATCAAGGATAACATTTTTTCCGAAATCATTTCGTTAACCAGATACCCACCATTTTGTATTTTTTACATACGAATATTTATCTTTGCACTTTTCCAACCGATGTTTATGAAACTTGGTATGTATGTTAAGGTAGGAGAGACCCATGTTATTAAAAAAAAAGATTCATCTCGATTCACCCTAAAATTTCAAAATTTAACACTTAACTACAATATAATATACTTTACTACACCACAATATTTATGTATCACCATAAATCTTTAACAAAATAAAACGTTAACATTTTTAAAATCCAAAGTAAATCAATATAATATTTCTTTTTTGAAAAATATTTTTAAAAAAAGGGCAATGGTAAAATAACGAGAGGCGAGTTTCGATCTGGGTGTTTCAGGTTTGAATCTAGGAGGATTTAACATTAATTAGGTAACATTAGTGTTTAATCCTCCTAGGTTTGAACTGATTGAGAGGAATACATGAAACCGAAGGGGGGAGGTAGCAACAAGTGCACTAGTATTTACTAGTGTCCAATTACAATTTGATGGATTTAACCAAAACCTTTTCTATTTCACTTATTTTCAGCTGTTAAATTTCAAACGATACGTTTTAGCGACATCATTAACGTTATTATCATCATCATCGTTTGAGTTTGGGTTTGCGGCAATGTATTTTTATGAATAAAACCTTTAATTTGATACCAAACTTGACCTCTGCTGCTATTAATTGACTGTTAGTCCAGGAAAAATACGACAAATTACCCTTAAACCTGGGCAAAATTGCTTCACAAGCAATTGAAGTGGTATTCAACACAGAAAATAATGCTTTATAACATATCCAAAATCCGACCATGGGAAATTACTAAAAAATCAAATTCAAAATGGCGGCAAAATTTCATATTTTTGTGATATTTGTTTTAGAACTTTTGGCGGTATGGGATGACGGAAAGCACATATACATAAATTAAATATCAGATTGGATGTTGAAATATCAAATATTTACAAGAATAGACTTTATTAAAACGACAAGGGCATATTTGTATGTACATTTTAGTTTCCATAGTTAAAAAGAATTAAATTTAATAGGTTTTCTTGGACAAACTATTCATTTAAATAATTGTTATCATTTTGTTTCAATGTTCTTACATTCATTGATCTGGCACTCCCCTCAAAAAGCAGAACAAGACAGGCCATTATGTTTACATCCACAGTTGCGCAATGGGTTATAAAAGATGAATGGACCAGTTTCAATAATCACTCTAGGGTTGGCGGTATTTCAGATACTGTACGGTAGTACGAGTTTTTGCACCAAGAAGGACATTATTCGCAGACGTTTGAACAAATATGTGAAAAATAACTATTATAGGAAACATTAAACATGAATACTATAGTATGAAACATCAAACATATCAAAACAGGCAATGCAAAAAGACTACAAAACAATAAGTCGTACCTCCATACATTTCTTATGGACGTTTCGTAATTTGAACATTTTTTGGGATAATTTTTCTTATATCTCCAGATTTCACTAACGCTTACAGTTTGTTCTAGCCTTAAAATATTCTGTGATAAAAGGGTTTACATTTGAGCTATTGATAATTAAAACCGGATGATTTAGAAACTAGCTACGAACCCTATAACAATATTAAATTTAACTTTTTAGATATACATTTTTATTAAAAGATGTATATCTCGGATTGTTAATATGTCATCAAGTTCATTCTGGTCTCAAATTACTCAGTGAATCTTTGGCTTTAATTTTATTAACAATTTTTTAAAATCTGATGAATTTTAATTGAGTCACGAATCTTTGTTTAACAGTAGATTATTTGTTTCTCAAAATTTGTCTTTAGTTTTAGACATATATCCCCAATTCTAAACAACTTCCAAAAATCTTACGGTCTTAAATAAATAGTAACATTATTGACTTTTGTTTTAGCTATGGATTACTTATCGGGAGTTATTAGAATTGGGGATAAATGCCCTAAACTAAAGACAAATTTTGTAAAATTAATAATTTACTGTTAAATAAAGATTCATGACTCATTTAAAATTTTTCTGATTTCATTAAGTGATACATAAAATTAAAGCTAAACATCCACTGAGTAATTTGAGACAAGAAAGAACTTGGTGACATATTAGCAACCCAAGATATACATCTTAAAAAAAAATATTTTTAAAAAGTTAAATTTAATATTGTGTTAAGGTTTGTAGCTCGTCTATAACACGTCCGATTTTAATTATCAATGGCTTAAATGAAAACACTTTTATCACCGAATATTTTAAGGCTAGAACAAACTGCAAGCGTTGGTAAAAACTTGAGATATAAGAAAAATTATCTTAAAAAATGTTCAAACTACGTAACGTCCATAAGAAATGGATAAGGGGGAATTTTCGTTTGAATATATCTTCAAAACGAAAAAAATACATTTAAAAACTGATTTTAGCATTGAAATCAGCGTGAAAATCTAATTTATAATGATGTGTCACAACACTATCATTACGTTTAAAAATATATATTTATATCCAATATGGCGGAACTAATATGGCAGATTCAACATGGTGGCCAAAGTGCGTTCCCTATCATATTAAAGGACTAACCACACAATAAATATCGGTGGTAATCTCAAATAATAAATAACAAATTAACAAATAAGTGAATATCTAAAAAAATGCATGAAATTGCATGTGATATATTTTTTAATGTGTTCAATGTTGGGGATAACTGCCATTTTTAATCGTCATTAGAGGGGGTTTCCTGTAGACCGATTTTTGGCAACTTATAGTACGTCACTCTACGCACCTAACACTATACCAAATAAAACCGTACAATGTTTTCTTGCATTGTTTTAAGGCCATATCCCATATTTATCTGACTATTGGTGTTTTAAAATAAATGGCTCTTAAGAAAAATAGCCGCCATTTTAAAGTTTACTTTTAGACACTTTCCCATGGTCGGATTTTGTCGGATTTTGGATATGTTGTAAAGTAACATTTGTTAAGTCGAATACCACTTCAATGGCTTATGAAGCAATTTTGCACAGGTCAAATCATAATTTTACTAGACTATGTATGCACTATCAATTAACAGCTGTGTCTAAGGATTATGTCGGCTTTAGTCACAAACAGGACAACAAGATCGCTCCACTCATCCCACACTCATCTCCATTCATACTTGGCTTAAAATGCATACATTTGTATGGTCGCCATTTCAAAGCAACATGTCTACATTATCAATGACAAACGTGGAAAACCTTATACGAGTGTGAGAAAGTCCGAAAACAGAGTAAGTCTGAAAACAACTCTAAAAAACAATAAGCAATAAATTGCAAGAACCGTTGCTTATATCATTGGGTATACACGTATGTACTGACATGTATACTCAATGCTTATATCGAACGAATGTACATCGTGAGAATTTCCATTAGTTGTTCCATTTAGTTGTGTGTCCATTAGTATAATAGTTTACTCTTTTGAAGTCAACGGAAATTGTGACTGTTATTACCCTTGAAATAATGTTTGTGTAGTACTTTGCAATCCTACCAATGCTTATAGAATCATACGATTACAATTTTCTGGTTATAATATGTCGCATAGAGTGGTGACTACTGTATCTTTTTGGTTTGCTTGTAAAACAGGATCAACAGAGATTTTCCATCGACTTAAACAATACGATACTCTCAAATTGTTCATTGCTATAACAAAATATCACACAGTTTGATGAATATTTGTGTGTAAACCACATACAGTACACCTGTATTCTATCCATTTTTTCTTTTATTTTTCCAAGACTTTATAGAAAATCACACATTACGTGATCAGTGAAGAAAGGCTGTATCCCATGTGTTTTATAGGTAAAGAAGTAAAGACGAACACTGCTTCAGGTCAGAGCATTCAGTTATCATCAGCAATTGTAATTCC